ATAACATGGTTAGTACATTTGATTAAACCTACTTGCTGTGGCCTCCATCCCTCCATTTCATATCCTCCCACATTTCTTTGCCTGTTGTCAACCTGCAACATGTTTCCACTGTTGCCAGATCAGTTATTCCTATGGATCAGCTGCTGACTCATTATTCTATCAAACTGCAGTAGATTTAATCTGGGAACAGTGTGGGATCAGGGTAACCTTGGCTGTTTTGCCGCAAAGTTGTCGTTTACATAGCGAAAGCGGATGAGAATGTTTCTGTCTTGAACCCTGGCGATATTGTTGCATTCAGCTTGCATGATGGAAATTCCTTTTGTTCAGTCATGTAGTGCGGTAACTAGTGTGTCAGCCGAGCTCAGTGGTCGCACCCTGGCATCTGAGTCGGAAGGTTGTGGGTTCAATCACCACATCAGGACTTAAACTCGCATAGGCTAAGCAGACACTCTAATGCAGTGCTGGGGCGTGTTGCATTGTTAGAAGTGCCATCCTTCAGATGAGATGTTAAACCGAGGTCCTGTCTGCCTATTCAGGTGGACATTAAACATCCCATGGCACTATTCAAAGAGAAGGAAGTGAGATTTATTTGTGGGATTGTTGACCAGGACATCTGAACCATCTACTGGTGTTCCGATTTGCTCGGACCCCCGTTTGAACCCCCATTTGCTCTTAGTCTCGGAGTGCGCATTTTGGCTGCCGCCACCAACCTGAGCTGCTTCCCCATAATGCTCCCACCTATGTCCCTCTCCTCTCCATTACTCCGGCTCGGTCCTCCTCTCCCACCGCCCTCACCGACTCTTATCCCTGCTCGACCGTCCCATAGCCTCCCTCTGCTCCAGCCTGTGAATCCTCCGTCGGGCCCATCGTGGGAGTCGCAGCTGGCTGTCCACCAGCAGCCACACTGACTGCTCTATCCCCTACTCTTGCCGCAAGGCTCATCGGTCCCTGACCACTGGGGCCAATCTCTCCTCCCTCATCCACATCCCCACCCTCCCTGTCAATCCTCTACTCTCCCCCCCTCGCCCCCACACTCTGCCATCAACTGTCCCTTCTGCATCGGCCTACAAAATGTCCGCTCCCTCTCCAACAAAACACTCATCATCCCAAACCTCATTGTCGACGAAAACATCGACATTCTCTCCCTCACTGAAACCTGGATCATTCCAGACGACACCTTCCCCCTGATAGAGGCAACACCACCTGGCTACACCTTCCACCTAACTAGTGGGTGGCTCTCCTGGTCTCCTGCTCAGCCTATCCCCTTACTCCTCTGGAACCTTTCCCTCCTTTGAGCTACTTACCCTTTATCACCCCCTCCAACCTTTCCCTCAAAATTCTCCTTAGTTATCGCTCCCCCAAGCCCTCCCCCACTTTCCTCCCCAACATCTCCACCCTCCTATCTTCCCTCTCCTCTGAACGCCTCCTCATCCACGGTGATTTCAACCTTCACTTCACCTCCTCCTGCTCTACTTCTGCTGCCTTCTCCTCCCTTATCTCCTCCCTCAACCTCTCCCTCCAAATCCACTCCTCCACCCACATCCACCCATGGTTAGAGCACTCGCTTTGCAAGCAAGAGACCTGAGTTCAATTCCAGGCAGGGCGAAACCTTGGGCAGGTTTCCTTACTCCACACGTCTAATAATAATCTCTCCAAAAACAATAATAAAAAAAATTGGTCATTTTCAATCTACGACTGTTTGTGGGACACTGCTGTGTGCAATTGGCTGCCGCGTTCGCCCACAAATATGCAGTCAATTCACTTTACAGTGTGTTCTGTGAAGCGCTTTGGGACGTCCTCCCGAAGTGAAAAGCGTTATATCAAATGCAAGGATTATTATTATTATTATCCGCGGTCACCCCCTCGACCTAGTGATCACTCGGGGCCTCACCGTCTATGACCTCACCATCATTGACAAAGGAATCACGGACCATCACTTCATCTCTCTCAACTCTTCAATTTTTCTTCCCATTGCCACCCAACCCACCTTCATCTCCGACCGCCCCTGGAAAAAAATCTCTCCCCCTCCCTCTCGGCTGCCTTGAAGTCATCTGAACTCCTTCTCCTCTGGGCTTCCTCCTGCAATGACCTATTCCTCAGTCATTTTTCTCCACAGCTCCCTCTTCACCACTCTCGATTCCCTTGCTCCACATAACTTCCCAAAACATCTCTTACACACGAAAGTCACCATGGTACACCAGCCGCCTCCACTCCCTTAAAGCAGAGGTGGGTGTCGCTGAAAACACCTGGCTTAAATCAAACCTAACAATCCATCAACAGATCTGGCTGGACCTATCAAATCTTATTGCTCCTCCCTCGCCTCCGCCGAGTTCTGCTCCAAGACAATTTTGGAGGCCAAGGACAACCCCAAGCTCCTCTTCTCCATCACCAATCGACTCCTCTGCCCACCCTCTCACTCCTCACCTATCCTCACCTCCAATTCCAATTGCGAGGCTATACTGGACTTGCTCGAATCCAAAGTCGAGGGGATTCGCTCAGCTGCCTCTGCCCTTCTGTCTACCACCCTCTCCACATCTCTCCCTCTCACCCCAGGCCCTACCCATCCCTCCCTCCACACCTTCAAACCTGTCTCCCACTCTCTTATCACCACTATAACCCACGTGAAACCAACCACCTGCACCCTCAACCCCATTCCTACTCGTTTCATTATCTCCCAGCTCCACCTCCTTGCCCCTCTACTCACAGACATCATAAACCTCTCCCTGTCCACTGGCATTTTTCCCACTCCTTTAAAAATGGTCATCATCACTATCCTTAAAACCCCCTCCCTGGACCCATTCCTGCTCTGAAACTACTGCCCCATCTCCTACCTCCCTTTCCTCTCCAACATCCTGGAACACGTTGTTGCTTCCCAGCTTCGCTCCTTCCCCTCATGCCACTTTCTTCACAAACCCCTCCAATCAGGTTTCCGTGCCACCCAGCACTTGTCAAAGTTTCAAATGACATTCTGTCCATCTGCAACCAGGGCTCCCTCTGCCTCCTGGTCCTCCTCGACCTCTCTGCTGCCTTTGACACCTTTGACCACTTTATCCTCATCCATTGCCTCTCCTCTCACCTCAACCTTCACGGCCCTGTCCTTGACTGATTCAGATTCTACCTCTCACACCGCCTCCACTTCATCTCTACAAACGGTTTCTCTTTTGGCCCCCGAACCGTCTTGTGCGGCATTCCTTGGGGCTCTGTCCATGGTCCTCTTCTTCAATATCTAGATGCTCCCTCTTGATGACACCCAACTGTACCTCTCTGCCTCCATCCTTGACTCCAGGACCACTGCTGTGCTGACAGAATGTCTGTCGGACATCAAGTCCTGGATGAGAGCTAACTTTCCTCAGTTGAAAGTCAACAAGACCGAGGCTCTCCTGATTGGCTCCCGTCAGCGCCTCCACAACTCAGGCGCTGACAGCATCACCATCCATGGTTGCACACTCCACCTCACTGAGCCAGTCCGGAACCTTGGGGTCTTGTTTGACCCTCAACTATCCTTTCTACCCCACATCCATGCCATGACCTGCTCTGCCTTCCCCCACCTCCACAACATCGCCCGGCTCCGCCACCGTCTTACACCGCAGACTGCCAAAATCCTCATACACACATTCATAACATCCAGGTTTGATTATACAAACTCCCTGCTTGTTGGCCTCCCCAACTCCTCCCTCCGTAGGCTGCAGATCATCCAGAACTCTGCAGCCCAAGTCCTCTCCCACACCAGGCTCCGTGATCCTGTCACTCTCATCCTTGCCCGACTCCATTGGCTTCCCATCACACAGAGGATACAGTTCAAGATCCTGGTCCTCACCTTCAAAGCCCCCCATGGCCTTGCTCCCCCTACCTCTGAGACCTCCTAACCCCTTACCATGCTGCCCACTCCCTCCGCTCAGTGGGCTCTGGCCTGCTTCACGTCCCCTGCCTCGCCCACCCCACCATTGGTGGGCGGGTCTTCTGCCATCCTGCCCCTACCCTCTGGAACTCCATCCCGCAGTCCCTCCGCCTCGCCCCCTCACTTTCCTCCTTCAGGATCCATCTCAAGACCCTCCTCTTTGAACGTGCTTTCGATCATCCTGCTTCCCCCCTGCCCTCCACTCTCCTCAACCCCGACCTCCAGCTCAGGTCCGAAACACTTAACTGTCTAGCGACTTGGGACGTGCTCCCGACGTGTAAGGCGCTACACAAATGTAATTTTGTTGTTGGGTTGTTGTTCTGGCCAGCAATCCTGCAAATAAAAAAAATAATTGGTCACGGGGACATTGCTGTGTGCAATTGGGCTGGTGCGATTGCCTACGATTATGCAGTCTCTCCACGGCACAATATATCTTGTGAAGCAATTGGGAAGCCGACACGATGTGAAAAGCTCTATATCAAATGCAAGGACAGCTAAATGTGTTGCATGAAAGTAAAAATACGATGGGGAAATGCATATTATATGTTTGAAGTCATCCACCCCCACTTCCCAAAACATTTTTTTAAAAACCAAACACCAATCAAACTTGTGGAAATGCTGTCCAGTGAGAAAGCAAAATATTATTTTGCCTATTTCCACTTGTGATCTGGTAGATTGTCTAGTGTTTCATTCATTCAATTTTATTGATTGGCCAATCCTAATAATAACAATGTTTGCATCTGGTATAGCGGTCTTGACATCAGGTGGACATCTCAAAGTGCTTCACTTGGCTCCTGTTAATCATGCAAGCTCAAGCCCTAATGGGTAGGATGATCCCAACTGGACAAGCAGCAGGAAGCTAGCTAGACAGAGATCCCAATGGTTAAACTTCAGAAGTACCCAAGGGCACACTCTGGGATCCCTAACCCTTGGCTACCTTTTGCTAACCTGTGCGTAGTAGTTTCTTGAAATAGGTAAGCATCCTTCGGGGGATGTGCTGTTCTGTTGTAGTGAACATTATCCCCAGTGTTTCTATTATTCTATTATTATTGATTTGAGTACTGTGCCTATGCATCTGAGTTTCTATTTTCTTTTTTTACAGCATCTGATCTGCACTAATGAGAAGTAACTTCGTTTGAATAAATCATGGAACTCTATTGGTACATGTAAGTATGTTAAATCAAATCGGGACTGTGCCAGATAATTTTGGGTTTTAAAATCTAATATCCATAGCACACATTTTCTCTGGAAAGAATCCATATTAGGATTAAATTCAGACTTAAAAATAACAATACAAATAGTTTGAACTACTCCTAGATTGATTCTGCTGAAGGACTTGAGGATGTGCAGATTTGAAAGAGATTATTTTGCCAAAACTTCATGTTCTGATAATCAAACAGGCTAACTGGGCTAAACTGCTGCATGTAAACAATTGGACTATGGTTAGCCATGCCTCGATGAATGTAGGTGTGTTATCCTACCTGTTTGCTTGGTTTTCCTTCACACTGAATCTGTTTTCATACCAACAGCTTTTCATGGAATCAATCTTACAGCACAGAAGGAAGCCATTCGGCCCATCGTGCTTGTACTAACTCTTTTAAAGAGCTATCCAGTTAGTCTCACAACCCTGCTCTTTCCCCATAGTTTGCAAATATTTTGTTTACAAGCATGTATATATCGAATTACAATTTTTCAGAGTGAATTTTACAAACTTACCCATCCAGCACAGACACGATGGGCCGAATGTCCTTCTTCTGTGTTTGTAAATCTCTGGTGCTATAATGGGTTTCTGGCTGATTCATTGCATGAACCCATTCCCTTTTAAAGCAGGCTGGTTAGGTGATGCCCAGTTGAGATTGAGTTGGGCCAGTTGGATGACATCTCGCCTTTTCAGTCCCAAGTTTGTGTTCTTCCTTAGTTCAACATCCAGTGGCCAAGCAAATGAGCGCTCAAGTGACAGGTAACCTTGAAATTCACGTTTGGAGTACGTGTGATTGCCATTATGGAAATACTAGTCGTCCTTTAGTGGTTAATGTAAAAAATGAGTGTCCAATTCTTCACATGTATTACCATGACTTATTTTCCATCAAATATAAATGAGTGAAATCAATAAGCTGTATAGTTACATTTCTGAGTAGGGACCAATAGTCGGAAAGTCAGGTGGAGGAAATGCAAAAAGAGGTGGAAAAAGGCACTTATGCACAGGAAAGGCAGGTTCAATGGATTTTCCCAGGAAAATGAAAAAGGGCCTGGTTAACTAAAATGTTGTAAATGTCTGCATTCGAGCAATTATTCCACAAGTTCCCAAAGGACACTGGAAGGGAATCCCTGCACCTACTGTTCGACCCTCATTCCTCCGATATCTGACTATTGTATTTAGCAATTAAAAAGCAGCAGCAGCAAATTGACCTGATCTTTAGAAGATCTGAGGGTGAAATTAGTATTTCTAAACGGGAACCATACAAGGCCATTTAGTACTGCCTAGTCCACAAACTTTGAGATATACAAAGCAGGGCAAAGGAGTTTGTATCCAAATTTAAAGCAATCTGATTTCCATTTAGTATGCTTATGCTTTGGGCACATTGAATGCTTTGGGCACACGTCCCAAAGAGCTGAACAGTCAACATATAACGCGTATGGGTTCTGAGATTATCTGCATTTTTCTCGCAGACAAGTTAGAGATTAAGCAATGTTGTATGTGTTATAAAGGAATGTACAGAACCAGAAAAGAGCATTGTGGTCCATCTCAAATTTAAAACAAAATCGTGCACAATTTCCTCTCATATTCCCCGAATGATTTCTTTGCCAAACAGCTATTTAATTTCTTCTCGAGTTTATAGACCCAATTTGCCTCCTTAGGTGGTCCGTTCGAAATACAACTTCCTATAGCCACTCTGTGTAAAGTAGTTTAAAAATATAAACATGTATTTGCCTTTCTGAATTTGAGACCTTACCCCATCAACGTCTGAGAAATCGTGACCCCACAATTCCTCTTATCCTTCAGGTATCGTTGTATTCAGGAGAGTTGAGACCAAGTGAGGAAATGTTTTTGGGTGATCTTTCTTGGTCTTTTTTTTACTTCCCCATTCAGTGAAAATTTGGCGGAACAGTTTTGTCAAGGTAGATTTTGTGTGTTTGAAAGAGGGAATGTAATAGTCGAGACATTTATTTTCAGTGCCACAAAATCTCAAATACTGGTGGGTGTGTGAAAATGTACTTTCACATCACGATTGCATCTTTGAAACATTTTGGGGGAACAAAAGGCATTAATTAATTGCAACGAAACCTGATATATGCCACCTCCCTAGTTAAAACTGAATATTCCTTGCTTATTAATTCTATTTATTTATTGCTAATCAAGTAAATAGACTGTGTATATATAATGCCAATACTTCTGTGGTTAGTATGGTTTTATAAAAATGAGTTGATTTTTCTTTTATAACCAATATTTTGTAATTTGACGGGCAGGCGTACTGTAAAGCAGAGGGTGGATGTTTCCTATTAATGAATTTTCTTTCACTCCCCACAGAATAGTGATAATATTTATTATCGTCAAAATCTTCTTCTACATTTGCTGGTATCGTTCACGGCAACGACAGCTGGATGCCTATCTTAGCAATCCCCGAAACACTCAGATAGTGATTGTTGGAGGCAGAGCTTATCTACATCAGCTCTGCGAGCGGCAAAATGTAAGTTTTCTGTGTTGGCTGGGTAGTTTTTAATTGAGAATCCTGTTTGCACACTTAACTGATTTGTAAATTATTAGACATTATTTGAGTGGGGGATCTTTTACAACAGCTGTGCTTGTAACAAGGCACCTTCACCGGTGATCTCCTGCAAGCCAGCTGTTCTGTCCATGGTTTCCACCTCCATAAGCCAATTGGAGTTTGAATCTGCAGTGTTCTTTCTTCTGTTCCTATCAGAGAAAATTAGTAAATACTTGCAGACGCCACAGATTCCAACCTCCACAGAGCAAGTGAAAATGTTCTTATAACTTATAAATTTATACTTCTTGTAACGTTTAAAATATCTTTTTTTGGACCCATTTCCTAGTGGGTAAATGCTCCCCACCCTCCACCTCCCCAAATTTGTCACTTGTCTAAAGTGAAACGATTGAAATTCTGGAGTCCATCATTCAATGGTGGAAGATGTCTGAGTGACCTCAAATTAAGTGACACTGTCCTGTAGCTCAGTGGTTAGAGCACTCGCTTTGCAAGTGAGAGACCTGAGTTCAATTCCAGGCAGAGGGCGAAACCTTGGGCAAGTTTCCTTACTCCACACAGAGCCTAATAATAATCCCTCCAAAACCAAAAACAATAATAAATTGGTCATTTTCAATCTACGACTGTTTGTGGGACATTGCTGTGCGCAATTGGCTGCCGCGTTCGCCCACAAATATACAGTCAATTCACTTTACAGTGTGTTCTGTGAAGCGCTTTGGGACGTCCTCCCGACGTGAAAAGCGCTATATCAAATGCAAGGATTATTATTATTAAGGGACTGTTTTGAACCTCGGCCATTGATGTGATAATGATTTTTTGAAACATAAGAGTTGCTCACCTTCACATACAAATCTCTTCACTCTCTGGCACTGCTCTGCCACTCCTCTCCCTCTCTGACCTGTTCATACTCCACTCCTGCTGGCTCCCTTTGCTCAGCTAACAGTCCGACTCCACTGGCTCACTATCCTTCAGAGGATCCAGTTCAAGATCCTGGTCTTCACATACAAAGCCCTCCATGGCCTCGCCCCACCCTACCTCTGCGACCTCCTATCCCCCTACCAACCCGCTCGTTTCCTCCGCTCAGCCGGCTCTGGCCTGCTCCACATCCCCCGACCCACCCGCCCCACCATTGGCGGGAGAGCCTTCAGCCACTCTGCCCCCAACCTCTGGAAATCCATCCCCAGGTCACTCCGCCTCGCACCCTCCTTAGCCTTCTTCATGTCCCGCCTCAAGACCCTCCTCTTCGACCTTGCCATCAGCCAGCTCCCTTAGCCCCCACTGACCCCAGCTCGGGTCTGAAATGCTGTACTGTCCAGCGCCTTGGGACGTCCTCCCGACGTGAAAGGCGCTATACAAATGTAATCTTGTTATTGTTGTAACAAGGGCCTGCTGCACATCCCCCAACCACTCTGAAACACACTCAGTGGCTGTGCCTTCAGCCACTATGTCTGTAATCTCTGCACTCCCTGCCTCAGTCCTTCTGTTTGCTCCCTCATCACCCCTTATCTATCCAAGTCCCATCTGAAAACCTACCTTTTTGACTGCTTATGGCCACCTGTCCCTTCTGCCTTGCTCAGTGTCCAATTGCCACTGTGCAGCACTCTTTAAGGCATTATCTTACATGAAGAGTACTATGGAAATGCAAGTGGTCGATGTTGCTCACATCTCTTATTTGATTTAGCCCATTTCTGCTTTTCTCTCCCTCATTTCCGGTCTGTCTCCCTCACTGGAGTCAGTCTTGTCTCCCTGTGGGTTTGCTTTCCTTTCCTTCCTCTCTCAAAATAACAGAGTATGCAATCTCTAGATTAAATTGTGTGAAACTGAATGGCACAAATCAATGCTAAAAATGCTGTGTAAATTGAGTTTGGAATTTGCAAGCTTGTAGTGAATTGCACTGGAGATTTTACCTTTGAAAGCCAGCACTTTGCTCCCCACGTGCAGGTTTCATTGATTCCCAGCAAATCAGATATTGAGTAAAGGGGAAATATATTTGTCTTCTGATCACTTCCAGCAGTATGAATAGGGCATAAATTGTTGAAATCAAAATAGTTTTTGCCCTGTTAATGAGGTAACGTCATAAAGGCTCTTTCAATTTTGATTTGTTTTTACATTTTAAGAAAGGCACTCATTCTTTCGGGTCTCTTTGTTTTGCACTATGGATATAGCACAGCTGGTGAATTCTGCTAGATACTGGCATTCATCTGTGGGATTAGCAGGTTTGACATCAATCCTGCAATTTGTTTTTAACCGTAGCTATATGCTTCTTGAACATTTTTCTTAGCGATATGGACAATTTTAGAAAATAAAGTCTCTATGTTAAAATGTTCTCACTTAAATACTATAAGCAATAAATCCCAAACTCAAAATGTGGAATATAAAGTTACAAATAGTCTCCAGGACAACTAGGTCAGCATAGACTTAAATCACTGGAGTGAAAGGAGTACCACAGATGGGATTTGGTTTGCGCAGACTTGTAATCCGTGTTTAAATCTGCTGCTTTAGGTGAGGCTTTCCACAAAACAAAACTAAACATTTTAAATGCACTCATGTTTCACCATGAATTCCTCTCATTTTATCGACTTCTTTGTTTCTCTTTCACTAACTCTCCCCCCGGACCCCAGTTGATGTTTATTTACAAATACATTTTTCTTCAGGCACTAGGAGCATTATTTGATGTTAATAAGTGCCTGATGAATCCTGTAGATTAAATAGTTTTTTTACCTCTCCTATTAGATGAAGGATTTTCACAACAGCCGATCCAAGAATGAGTAAATGTCATGATTAAGCAGCTGGTACTGAGTGAGGACTTGGTAAGCTGGGTCTCATTGGAGCTGAACTGGCTCCAAGATGACATGTTTGGCAACAGAATATCAGAAACAAACCAGCCCTTTGTGGTGGTCTTGATAGTCCGGTTCCTGAGCCAGGCGGATCCCCAGTATTCCAGGGCATTGCTGATGACAGCATAACCAGTCTGGCTCATCGGCAGGAATTAGAAGGGCAGACTAGTCAATGGGGGCAAGGAGTCATCCCACTTAGTTCCTTTTAACCCTGCAAGCGAAAGCCCTAACTAGTAGGGTGGTCCCAGCTGGACAAGAAGCGGAACAGCTTGCTACACAGTGATATACAAAATAGAAACCCGCGGTATTAAAGGGACAGTAGCAACATGGATACAGGACGGCTGGGAGACAGAAAGCAGAGAGTGGTGGTGAACGATTGTTTTCTGACTGGAGTGAAGTGTGCAGTGGTGTCCCCCAGAGGTCAGTATTGGGACCACTGCTGTTTTTGATGTATATAAATAACCTGTACTTGGTTATAGGGAGTACAATTTCCAAGTTTGCAGCTAATACTAAGCAGGAAAAGTAGTAAACAGTGAGGATAGTAGCAGACTCCAAAAGTCATAGATAGACTGGTAAAATGGGCAGACACGTGGCAGATGGAGTTTAATGTGGAGAAATGCGAAGTGATGCATTTTAGGAGGAAGAATGAGGAGAGCCAGTATAAGCTGATGGTCCAATCTAAAAGGGGTGAAGGAACAGGGAGACCTGGGGGTTCATATAAGCAAATCTTTGAAGGTGGCAGGACAGGCAGATAAAGCTGTTAAAAAAGCAAATGGGATACCAGGCTTTATAAACAGGGGCAGAGAATACAAAAGTCAGGAAGTTATGATGAACCTTTATAAAACATTGGTTAGGACTCAGCTAGAGTACTGTGTTCAGCTCTGGGAACCAGACTTTAGGAAGGATGTCAAGGCATTGGAGAGGGTGCAAACGGGAGATTTACCAGGATAGTACCAGGAATGAGGAACTTCAGTTATCAGGAGAGGCTGGAGAAGCTAGGATTATTCTCCTTAGAGCAGAGAAGGTTAAGAGGAGACTTAATAGAAGTTTCTAAAATTATGAGGAGATTCGATAGGGTGAACAAGGAGAAACTGTTTCCTCTGGTGGGTGGGTCGTTAACCCGAGGACACCGATTTAAAATAGTTGTTAAAAGAAGCAGAGGAGAGGAGAATTTTTTTTACACAACGAATTGTTCAGATCTGGAATGCATTGCTTGAAAGGGTGGTGGAAGCCGATTCGATAACAGTTTTTAAGAGAGAGGTAGATGTGGAGTCCTGTAGCTCAGTGGTTAGAGCATTCGCTTTGCAAGCGAGAGACCTGGGTTTGATTCCCGGCAGGGGAAACCTTGGGCAAGTTTCCTTACTCCACACGCCTAATAATAATCCCTCAAAAAAAAACAATAATAAATTGGTCACTTCAATCCACAACTGTTTGTGGGACACTGCTAAGTGCAATTGGCTGCGCATTTTGCCCACAAATATACAGTCAATTCACTTTACAGTCTATTCTGTGAAGAACTTTGAGACATCTAGAAGACGTGAAAAGCGCTATATTATTATAATTATTTGGTGACGACAAGTTTGCAGGGCTATGGGGAGAGAGCGGGGGAGTGGGATTGATTTAGATAGCTCTTTTCAAAGAGCTAGCACAGACACGATGGGCCGAATGGCCTCCTTTTGTGCTGTATAATTCTATGATTCTATTATCAAGGGCAAGCTATGTGGTTTTAGCGGGTTAGACTCCAGCAGTACCCCAACGCACATTCTGGGGTCCCCAAGCCTTGGCTCTTGCCAACCTGCGTATAATGCTTTTTGTATTAGGTAAAGCGGGATGTGTCCCTCCAGGGAGAGAGTGCACATTACATTCCAACAATCTGTCTCTGGAATTTCCATGTGTAAGTGGGATACATAGAATTCTCAGTTTGGATACTCTTAAGCACGGTGATGAGTTTCCACCAGTGTCAGGCATTGGCTGACCAAAAAAAATCATGATATCTATTTCTGGGCTGCATGAAAGATATAGTACTGCTATGCTGCCAAAGATGCGGATTATAACTCTGATATGCAAATTGTATTGCCATTGACATTATGAGATCTGGCTGTGCTTTTCAATCTGATTGCTCAGACAACAGAATGCAGACTTCTTGTCCAAAAGACATGGATTTGAGTTCTGGTTGGTAGAAACTGTCCCTAGCTAAATGACATCCATTTCCAACTGATATTCATTATCTTGCACAACAGTGAGAAATTCTCCAAAGTAAAATACAGTAATTCTTGCATTTGAGTTAGCGCCTTATCATGTTGTCGAGACATCTCAAAGTTCTTCCCAGGATATTACTGTAAAGTGTACAACAGCCAATTTGCACACAGCAATGTCCCACAAACAACCTTGAAGTGAGTGACCAGTTTTATCTAGGGGATTATTGCCCAGCACACTGGGAGAAACTCCCTCTCTTTTCAAATAGTGCAATGGGATCTTTAACGTCCACCTGAATGGGCAGAGGGGACCTCAGTTTAACTTCTCATCTGAAGGATAAAGTAACCATTCAGGGGGCCCCAACTGAGAATTCCATGTATGCACTGGATTATGAACATGGACCATATATGTTCCAATCCCAACATGATTCTTCAACACACAACCTTCTGACTCAGAGGCAAGAATGCCAGTGCCAGGCTGGGATTACCCCAGTGTGGGGTGACTAAGGGGAATTTGAGCAATGGAAAGAGGCTTGCCTTGTTTGTTAATGTCTCCTACCAGTCTGTCTTGGTGTGACCTATTGATGGGTAATCAACTCAAATCAACATTTAGGTCTGATTCAACAAATGATGCTGATGAGCATCTGCACTTGTAAGAAAAAATATTGGAAGATTTTTTTAAAAAAACTAAGCAATCATGTATCACAAATGTAGCTTTAAATGATTTGCGAAAGGAAATTGCTCAGCAAGAGTTTCCATACAGAATCTCTGCTTTTTAAAAAAAACAAGAAAAACTGCAGCTCTGGGCTCAGGATTAAGTTGGGACAGTTTAAAGAATGCTGAGTTGGCAGAACATTGGTGCCACAGTAAAAAGTGAAATCAGATTAAATGTCATTATCCCACATGAGATGAAACACGACTTGCTTATCCCATTGTGATTATTTCAACAGTCTTAACATTTGATAGAGAAATGCTGGAAGTGGAAAAATTATAATTGGGTAATTACAGGAAATGTTTGAGTAGATGCAAGACATTCTGAAATCAAATATTCTCCCGGGTCTAAACAAAGTTCTAAGAAGGTAATTTGATATAAACAGCCCTGAAATCTGAGCAGTATCGATGGTACACCATTGCTGAAATTAACAAACTGAACACTGCATTTTACACAGATGCTTCGCATTTTTTAAAAATTGTTTTCAACCAAAGTAACTACAATATCCCAAGTTGCAGCATTAATTATAGAACATTGCATGTAATAGAGATTATTTTAAAATTAAGAAATCTGTGATGCGCACTCACAAAAATGCCACTGTAGCTTAATCTACTTCCAGCGGAAGTCTCTCATGTCAGAGTAGCAAGGGTGGCATTCTTCTGGTTTCCGAAATAATTCTTGTGCAGGTGGCCATGCTTTCAGTGGCAGTGTCCCTAATTTCTGGAACTCCCTGCCTCAATCCCTCTGCCTCATCTCCTCTTTATTTTTAAATCCCACCTAGAGACCTAGCTCTTCAACCATGCGTATGGTCACCTCCTTCTCCCTTGCTCAGTGACCACCTCCACCACTATGGCACTCCAAGGTGCTTTCCTGCACAAAGGGCCCTACATCAATGCAAGTTTATTTATATAAGAAATGCAAAGTTCACCTCAGTATTCTTTACCTTACTCTAACCCTGATGAACCCTGATCTCTCCTCCTATCTTCTTCTCCTCCTATCTTCCTCTTCACCCCCATGGAAATTGGTCTATCCTCCTACTTTCTTCTTCTCCCCCACCACCACATTTTTCTTTTGTCAGCCAGGTGTATTAACACATTCAGAAATCTACTGCTCTGTTATGAGTATCCAAACCAGACAAGTTCCACGTATGCATTTTACTTACACATGGTAAATTCCTTGTAGTCTGGACTGGAATGTGTTATTTTCTTCCCGAAGGATGTACCCTGCTTACCTAATTCTAGAAAGTATGAGGCGCAGGTTGACAAGTGAAGACTTAGGGACCCCAGAGTGTGTGTTGGGGCACTGCTGGAGTTAAACCAGCTGAAACCACATAGCTTACCGTTGAGAGCACTGTCTGCCAAGCTTTCCAGTTTATCCAAAAAAGATCACTCTATCCATTAGGGCACTGGCTTGCTGCGTTAACAGTAACTATGTCTGCCAACAGTGACTGGTTTGCCCCTTCGAGTCCTGTTGATGAGTCAGGCTGGCTGACCTGTCATCAGCAGTGACATGGAGTACCACAAACTCGCCGGGCTCAGGAACCAAACTACCATTACCGCCCAAGAGGATCAACTTGATTTTGATATTCCATTGCCAGGCATGTCATCTCAGCCCCAAGGATACTCATTTACCTTATCCCCTTTCCTTCCCAAGAGTCATTAAATGGTCAGTTGATATCCTACAAGCGCATCTTTGAGCCCTCCTTTAGTGGATAGCAGGTAATAGTAATCCCCTGCAAGACTCTGTTGAACAGTGCAATTTAGCATGAAATCTTCCTGCCCACAGCTCAGACATGTATCCCTACCCATTTAATAATAATAATAATCCTTGCATTTGATATAGCGTTTTTCACGTCAGGAGGACGTCCCAAAGCGCTTCACAGAACACACTGTAAAGTGAATTGACTGTTTATTTGTGGGCGATGAGCGATGGTTCCACCAGTTGAGGTTGTAACTTCAGCTGCAACTGCCATATTTGCAGCAAAACTCAGAATAATGATTGTGTACAGATCCAAAACATAATATGTTTATACCAGTAGAGGAACAAATATAGTAAGTAATAGCTGACAGTAATGAGACTCAAGCTATAAGATTCCTGTCATTGGTTAAATCTTTGATGCACGGTTTAATCCAGTTTTGTTTTCATATCATGATTGTGACAGCCTGGTGTCAATTGTATATTATATAGGGTAATATTCAGTCTATAGTATATCCTAAAGCAGCAAAATCAAAGGGTGATGGGTGCATTGGTCCAATTACTTCATTGCAGTATTTATACTGCAGTATCTTGTGTTTGTCCCTTCATTTATTTTTTGTAGAGCTCTGTGCTCCCCTACCTGGTACTATGCAGTCCAGATCAAAAGCAATCTTACCCTTTAAATAAATCTGATTGGAACAGTGGAATTTGTGGTAGGTCTGTAGTTTCAAGCATCTCATGATGACTGTGAGTTTCTGAGGAAGAAGTTAAGTAAATGAAAATAGTTTCTCTGCATGTTTATATCTTTTATTGCTCTTTCATTTCTTTTTGAGCAAACGATGCAATTGAAATCTAAAATTGAAATTCAGTACCTTTTTATTGACAGGTTCAGCGAAAAAAAACAATGTTGGTTAAAAGTGTATTGCTTTCTTTACAGAGTCCTATGTGGTATAGTTGGTATGGGGGTCAAGATGACGGCTCCATTGGAGAACCCTCTGGGTCCCTACCTCCTGCTCCTTCCTACAGCCAGCTGGAGGTGCCACCTCCATATGAAGCGGTGTCGAGAGGTCAGACGGGTACTTTAGAAATTTTATAGCTTTAATTTTCACCAAGATAACATTTCCTTTATTAGAAATGGAGCTCCATTGTGAAACTATGTTGGTATCTACTTTTCACCAAAAAGAAACTGCCTTTGATTTCAGTTTAGAAACAAAACTGTATTTAAGAGTAGCACAATATTCAATACTGCTAAGAGCAGTTATTGGAAGATGGAGCTGACTGACTACTACAGAGCACCCTTCCCCCCACCCCCTCCACTTATAATAGTGTTTTGGATCCATAAAATTAAATCTCATATTGTAATAGTACTGTGAAAAATGGCAAATGGGTCACTGTTAATATAACTTAATATAATAACAAGGAAACTGGACCAGTCAACAGGCCACGACAGTTCTAGCACTAGAAACGCATACAAGTTGTGACTGACTGGTTGGCTTCCTTCACCCAGTGGGCGCACAGAAAACTAGCCAGTCCGCAACGGGAATTTATTGCCCGTCAAGTAACCCCGAGCCCACAGGCACTCGTATTTTAAGATGTCTTCCACTCTAGTAAAGCACAATAAAGGTTGTCCTGTATTATCCTGACTCCAACTCTGCTTAAGTAAATATAGAGCAAACATTCTCTGACACTTTGTGCTGCTGACGTTGAAAGCAGTAAAATGTGCAAATTCATTTTGGCAAATCTTTTCAGGATTCATTCATTCATTCAACAGGCTTTGTTTATAGACAACTTGCACTTATCTCAGATCTTATTCATTACTCAATTGTGAAAACCTGTACTTAATTCTTAAATGCTATTTCTGAGTGTTTTAATGTGGAGAATGATCTTATCCTTTGGATTTTCTTATTGCTGCAGATGATTTAAAGCCTCCGCCATACACAGAGTATGCTACTGCTGGGAGTATTGAGGACGCTCGTGCTCTGTCTGTCCCAGAGGGTTACGATGCTTGCAGCTTGAGTGATGCTCCACCTCCATATACTCCTAGTCCATCGGCTGAGAACGAACAACCAGATAATGTGACATCATCCACTGTCCAAGAGACAGACCGTGCCACTGCAATCGGCTCAGCATATCAAATCTGAACACAAAATGCACTTCCTGGGACTCCTGTGAAGTTAACTTATCTTTCCTTAAATGGGGGGGAAGTAAGTCCAAAGCGCCTCAACTTTTTTTGGACAGATTTTATTTCTCTGCAATTGAAGATGTTTACAGTGACGCACTACATATAATGGAGTTTTCCCTTACTGCTGCTATCAGCACTACTTTCTTTTTATTATGCAGTGACTGCATTTTGCAAGGAGGAGCTCACGGAGAAGGGTACCACCGTGTTTTAACAGCTCGTATGTTTGCCAGTGACTGTTGATGTTTATAACTTGTAACTCTCCCCTGCCCCTGTCATAGAGGAGGTGAGCGATAGTCAGCATGTGGCCAGAGACTGCAAATTCTGTATCTATTTTGGTGTTTCAGGAGTTTAGCGACAAGACTTAGCTAGTAGATGGTAGTCGCCGGAATCGACTTGTACTCTGCTGTTATCGGCATGTCTGCGAGGTCATTCCTAACATTCTCTGGCTCTGCTTTCTGTAGCTTTGCCAAGACCTCGTTATTCACCCAAAGGAAAAGTCGTCTCACATTAAGAGAGGGCATTTCCAATTTTAGAGAATCTTACAGATGTCAGACTTTTTAAAAAGACCATTCTGCCGTAGCATTTAAATGCTTATTTCTGAAAAAATGTATTTTTATATTTTTTTAAGCTTTTATGTCATTCAACATTGTGTAGATACCCACAAGCAAAATCTTTGGGGTATTAAATATTCTTAGCTGTTTTTTCCCCTCTTGATGACTGCATGTAAAGTTGAAGCCTTTATTATGGATTTATTGTGTATAATGCTGTACAGTTTAGAGGTGATGACCGAGAAGTGTGCGAATATGTGTAGATGCACAGAGTTGCATCCACCTAACCCATTTCAATTCCAAAGCAATCTGTCACAATATATAAGGCTTTTTGGTTCAGAACCTTTAATATTTACTGTGTTCTCAGATATTTATTGTAGTACATGCCTGATTATAACCCATAAATTTCTCACACAATATGAGAGTATTGCTAAATGTGTCAGCCCCTGTGTTAAACAGTCTCTAAACAATTAGTTTTTTCCCCCCACAACCTTTTCACAGCATTGTATGACTACAAATCTGTGGAATAAGTAGATTATTAGTACGAATATTATCATAATGTTGGTTTAAGTCACATTTCTATCAGAGTTCAATTAGTTTCTCTTTTCTCTTTGTACATTTTTTTCACCTTTGCAACCAATCCAAAGTTGAGTCGATTAAGACAATTAAACAGAAATAATTTGAAGACTCACACTAAGTCAAAAAAAAAATAATTTATGGAATAATTTTAGCTTAATTGATATTTTTAATGAATAATTTAAAATATTTGTTGCCTTGCAAATAGGCTTTGCACACAACAACCACTTTGCTGTAAGGATGATGTTTTTGCTTTGGGTGGGTGGTGCTTTCAGTATTTTCACTGACTTAAATTGTTTTATGTTCACCTTTATAGAGCTTAAGAGTTTCAATCCAAATTAAAATAGGATTTAGATGTACATAAATATTTCAGTTCACCTTCTTGGACTTGCTGACTTATGTAGCTTCTTAAGCAACAAATACAGTTTGCTATTTCAATCTCAACTAGTTTTGTTCTGTGCTATTTTCTATTTCAAAACATGTTCAGTTTGTCCAAAGAATTCTAGATTTGTAGATATTCACGAGTTGGATGTGTTTTACAATTCTATTTTGCAATTCAAGCAAAAACCTTTATAGACATAATAATCCTTGCATTTCATTTAGTGCCTTGTCATGTCTTCGAGATGTCTCAAAGCGCTTCACAGAATATACTGTAAAGTGAATTGAATGCATATTTTGTGAACGAAATCACAGCCAATTGCACAGAGCAGTGTCCCAGAAACAATTGTGGATTCAGTGACCAATTTATTATTATTATTTTGAAGGAATTATTACCCCGGGAAAAGCGATCTGCCAATCGACTAACAACGGGGTTCCTACTTAAGGCTAGCTAAACGGTGGCATGTGGAGTAAGGAAACTTGCCCAATGTTTCACCCTACCAGGAATTGAACTTGCTTTTGAGGCGAGTTCTCTAACATCTGAGCTATCGGACTCCACTGGCTCAAGTTGTGAAAACACCAGTAAACTGGAAGCAGGTTGCAGTTACTGAACATTTAAGTTTCAACATGGTCTTTCAATTTAACTTTCCATTTTGAACAAATTAGTAAAATCAACAAAGTTAAATATATCCAATAAAAACATGTAGAACCATAGAAATGTGGGACGCAGGAGGAGGCCATTCAGCCAATTATTATTTTTCTCCTCCAAGAAGCCATTCATCCAAAATTCCCTACTCCTTCCCCGTATGCTCCAATATCATGTTGGCATGCGTTTGTCCAATTCTTTTTTTTAATTCACAAATGACTGTTCAGACAGCCACCATGGCAAATTATTCCATACCCAAACAATTCTTTGGAAGAAGTTCTAAATGTCCTTTTACACTCTATTCACAATCTTGAATTGATGCCCTCATGTCCACAAATCACCTACTTGCAGAATGTTTCTTACAATTGTTTCATTCCTTTACATTGTCTTAAAACATCTCTTCTCCAGGGTTTAATTCCACTCCCTATTCTTTCTTCCAAACTTTGCATTTTTCTATATTGAACTTCATTTTCCACTAATCTGTCTACCTGTAGCTTTTTACATTCTTTGTTGCTGTTAACACCTATTTATGAATCGTCCATAAATGTAGTTAATATTCCCTCAACTCCTGCATCTTAATATAAATTATATTTCTCATTCCTATCTGTTTATATCAGTTTTTTGATGTTGATGTTTGCATTCAGTTATTTTAATACAAAAAATCATTATTAACCAGTATTACAAACCTGGATGTTTGACCATATCTCCGTTAACCTCCCCTCATCTTAACATCGACCTCCACCACCGCTAAAGAGCTCTGAGACGTTACCCACGGGAAGGGTGCTATATAAATGCAAGCTGTTGTTTGTTACGGATGGTGTGTTTGTTACAAATGCTAAATACAAATCTCTTTAGAATTTTGTGACTGTCCTAATCAAGCAAGATTTATCTATTCGACCTTTATTTTTGTGAACTGAATATGTTAAAAGATCTAAAACTTTTGTAGTTATAGCAGTAACCTTGGATGGGTATCCTTAAACTTCCTTGCAAGAAAGTCTTAAAAATTCTAATGGCCGGATTTCTTTATTGTATCTGTGAAAGACCAAAGCACAATCTCTAAATGCAGAAACAGCTCCACAAATGGAGTATATTGTAGCTTACATAATGTTTTGAAGCAAATTTTGAAGTTGTGGAACAATACTTTTAAATATTTTAATTGCTAAATTTGTGAGAATTCAAATATCTATGCAAAATAACACATTTCAGACGTTTCTTAACTGGAATGTGTTCTTGATATGCTGTTATTAAATGGTAGCGAGCAAGTTACAAAAATTCAAATAATTGTAACTGCCTCGTTAACTACAGTACTTGCCTCTTTTAAGACCTGATTTTTTTTAAAATCTGATTAATTGCTACTTTTTTTTTTCCTTTCACTGCTACATTCCTGTTTCAGCATGGAAGGCATAACATTCTTGTCTGCACATTGTCCATGACTTTTCAGGCTGCTACAGATACTGGTGGGAGTTAGTACTGAGAATGGTTTTGGAAGACTCATAATTTAGCTCTTGCAAACGGACTGTAATATCCCTATAATCCAGCCCACATCTACAAATCACGTGTCCAGTTATTCTAGATTCAGTACATGTTCCAGCTATGGGAAATTGCTGTTTTGTTGCTTGGTTGCAACTAGTGTATTTCTATTACAAAAAGTAGATGCTACGGTGGAATAGCCAACATATTGTGTGGAGGCAGGGGAAGGTCTTGCGGAGAGAGTGGGTGATGGGACAGTCGCGATGGCTCCTTTGGGACAACCGTTGACGTGTGCCACAATGAGCATGGCGGAGGATGCCTAGAGTGGAGCAGAGGGAGGCAGTGGTGGAGTCCTGGAGAGAGAGAAGACGAGGAGGACAGTGAGAGAAGGATAAAGGTTGATAAAAGTAGTGGAGAGGTGGGAGGGGTGAGGGAGGCAGAGTAGAACTTGGGGCATTTTGGGGGGTTGGCTCGGGTCGGGCTGTACTATAATTTGTACGTATTTTCTGGGATGCTCAAACAGTGCAGGCTGGAGCCCTCCTTCCCTTCAGCGACTTCCCCTTGTTATGACAAATCCAATTAACTGTTTGGTTCTATAATTCAAAACTGTGCCAAAGGAAATCCTTCACTGCATGATCACAATATTTTGAATATCTGCACTCAATCTTTACATTTAGCAGTTTCTTCTCATGAATTTCATTTTTACTGTACCATCATGATTATTATCCAAATCTTACAATCTTTACTGCCTCACTTGAAATAATGATTCATAATCTCCATAAATATGTATCTAGATTATACATCCATTTTAGTAAAGGGTGCCAGCTCCTCCATTGGATCCAACTGCTTTAATTTCAATTCCCTGCTCCTTCCACATTCCCGCTGATATCAATCTTAAATGTTTCCCAATTTCTTTTTAAAGTTTAGTAGTCTCAGCTTCAGTAACTCCTTGGGTAAAAAGTTCCTTGTATAACAACTATCTTGAGAAAATTCTAAGTCCCCCTTAAATCTATCAATGATGATCCTGGATTTATGGAAATTTAAGTGCTTTTGAAACCACTCCTTAAAATGGGCTAAGGAATAGGATTGATCATAATTCACGATTCCTGAACATAGTTTATACTGCAAATTATCATGAAAATAACTGTAGTAGGATGAAGTTTAAGGAAAATTTAAATGCAACCATTCCCACCGAATGTCTCTAAAGAGACTAATTGTACAAAAATATACATTTCCTTTGCCAGGTCACACTTTTATTTTCGATTATGGATTATTATGGAAACATACGAAAGGAAAATTCTCCTTAAGCACATTGTTAAATCGCACACTAAAGAGTGTACTTTTACATATATATTGTATTCTCGGCAATACTTATGCACTTTTTCTGCATTCAATAAATAAGTGTAAAGGGTATTTGCTTATACTGGTACCACTGAATCAGGTGTTTTGTAGAGCACTTGAAAATATTTTCCATGATAAAGAGAAGAGCATCCTGAACAGCAAGGGTGAGAAGCTGATCTGCTGAAAGTGAAACCACCAAGAGACACAACCTTTCCTGAAAGAATGAATTCAAAGAAAATTATTTAAATCCAATGCAAGAAAATATATAAGTTGCATACAATATAATCATCCTTGTATTTGATGTAGCACCTTATCACATCTTCGAGACATCTCAAAGCGCTTCACAGAATATACTGTAAAGTGTATTGAATGTATATTTTGTGGGTGAAATGCGGTAGCAAATTGTGCACAGCAGTGTCCCACAAACAGTCGTGAATTTAGTGAATATTTTTTTATGAAGGAATTATTACTCCTGGAAAAGCAAACTAATCGACTAACAATCAGGTTCCTACTTACTGCTAGGTAAACACAGGTGTGTGGAGTAAGGAAACTTGCCCAACATTTCGCCCTGCTGGGAATCGAACCCAGGTCTCTCGTTTGCGAGGCGAGTGCTCTAACCACTGACCTACAGGACTCCCAATATACTGAATATGAGAATGATTTCCCAGTTCTTTCACAAATGACTAAAACCTACACTTTATTTCAGAAAAATATAATTGAAATGAAACCATTGTACTGAAAGGATTCAACAAGAAGAAGATTACATTTGTATAGGATGAGTATTTCGAACTGGGGGTTGGAGAGCCAGTAGAGCCGGGTGAGGGTGGTGGTGATAGGGTCATGGAGCCTGGTGCGAGAAGAGGACACGAGGTGCAGAGTTCTGGATGATCTGCAGCTTGTGGAGGAAAGAATTGGGAAGGGACAAGCAGGCATTGGCATAGTCGAGCCATGAGAGTATGAGAGTTAAGAGTTTCCAAATGTTTTTAATGCATAAAAATTATTATGTGTTGATCTGAAAATGTTCCCAAATCTATTTTTTCAAACATTGCATTTAATTACATTTTCATGCCCATTTGATTAAACCACATCACTTTACTGCTTTTCAGTGAAATCAGTGGGAAAAATACCTGTTTAGTGCAGGAGTTTTGATGCCTGAACCTATGACCTTCTGACTCAGAGGGGAGTATTAGCATTTATGTAATGCCCTTCATGCTTAACTTCAGAGTGCTTACCAATGACTAAGCGAAGGGGATAGGTAGAGGATCGATGTGTGAGCAAGTTTGAGAGATAGGGAGGTGTGAAATAATTTATAGGTGAGTGTGAGGATCTTGAAACTGATCCGTTCTGCAACAGGGAATCAGTGGAGCCTGGGTGAAGGGGTGCGGAGTTTGGTATGGGTGAGAATACGGGCAGCAGAATTTTGAATCAATTTGATTTTGTGAATGGTGGAACTGGGGAGACCGGCAAAGAGTGCATTGGAGAAATCGAGGCAGGTGACAAAAGCATGGATGAAACAGATCTAATGATGTTAGTCATAACTCACTGTGTTAAAACAGTGTGAAACATAATAATAATAATCCTGGCATTTGATATAGCACTTTTCACGTCTTCTAGGCGTCCCAAAGCGCTTCACAGAATATACTGTAAAGTGAATTGACTGCATATTTGTGGGCGAACGCGGCAGCCAATTGCACACAGCAGTGTCCCACAAACAGTCGTAGATTGAAAATGACCAATTTATTATTGTTTTGTTTTGGAGGGATTATTATTAATAAATAAGGCAAACAGGTTGCTGGGCTATATTACTAAGTCAGTCTAGTTTAGATCCCCAGATGATGTTCTCAAGCTGTTTGGTGCTTTGACTGCAACTAGAGTACTGGATCGGAGAAGCCTTGCACCCTATCCTGTGATGCTGACGTGGGCACTTGGCGGAGAAGCATCGCAGAGGCCTTTGGTCTATTGGAGGGGTGCGCTGTGTCCATTCACCCTAACCTGTGGGTGTGAGTGCTCGGTGGAGGTTTGGTGAGCATGTTCGGATGCTGTGTCTGCGGCCAGTGGGTGCCGGCTGAGTGAGCGAGAGAGCAGCGCCGAGGGCCAAGGAACATAAGGTGAGGCTCCATGTCTAACTTGTCAGATCGGATAATACATCACTGGGCCCTTTTCCTTTGGAATGACGAGTTATCCAGGGTTTACTTATTTTCTAGAATTACACAAGGAAGATGCATCTCTCCAGTACACTTAATTCCAGACAAAAGGGAAATATCCACGTATGCCAGTGATATGTATACGAAGAACCTCCAAGATTATTTTGCGAATGGCACTGTATGATGTATCACAATCCGGTAAACATACACAGTCAAAGAAAATCTGTTCATCAAGAGGACAAAGATCTTTTGTTATGTCTCAAAGCAAGTAATTATTTGTTAATGAAAAATGGCACATCACTGAATTTTATTGTAATCTTAAAAAGCGTGCTTTGTTATATATTTACTGTATGTTGGCAACAAGAGCTTAATTAATCCTGTATTTCCCAGCATGGTGCAGAGTTAAGAAAAAAAATGAAAGGAACAATAGTATTGTTGGAGAAAGAAATTTGCTTTCTGAGCTATTGTGCCACAATACTTAATGTAGTCTGTATCAGTTATTCCAGCTTTGTATTTGCCATTATTATTACAATAAATATTTCCATGCACTTTTCAAAATGCTTAATCACACAAAGTATTTGAAAAATATTGCCAAATATGCTCTGCCCTTTTTTGTAAATGTGTAATTTTTTCAGACATGTGCCAGTTTTTTTTATTGGTGCCTGCAATACATTCAGTCACCAAGCTCATTTGCTGGCAGCACATATAACAAGTCTCAAAGCACTTCACAGGATATAGTGTAAAGTGTAGTGACTGTGTATTTTGTAGGCAAATGCAGCAGCCAATTTGTGCCACAGCAATGTCCCACAAACAACCATGACGTTTTATCTGGAGGAGTGTCGACTCTTGCATTATATGAAATAAATAATTTCTGCAAAAACACATGGTTGCAATTATGTTTCCCCAAATTTTACCTCAGAAGAAGGTAAAGCCTGTGAAGTAAAGTTTCGGAAAAATCTAATTTTCTTCAACTGGTTTGTGATTTCTTCAGTTGGGTCATCAGCTACTAAACATTCCAATTTTAGTATATTAAACCTGCAGAGGCACATAATAATAGATTAGATTCACTTCAAACCTAATGTTTTTTCAGCAAACTATTGTCAAATATCTTTTTTTTACAAAACTAAAAGCTGTAAAAGCAATGCCTACCAGCAGATGTAGACAAACAGTTATATTCCTGAGCCAGATTGTTTTGTATGCTTTCAGGTTATACACAAGGGCACTGAAACGTCTCAGAATTTATGTGTTTTTATTACTCTAATATTGATCCTAAACAACTATAGACTTAATAATAATAATAATAATAATAATAATAATAATCCTTGCATTTGATATAGCGCTTTTCACGTCGGGAGGACGTCCCAAAGCGCTTCACAGAACACACTGTAAAGTGAATTGACTGTATATTTGTGGGCGAACGCGGCAGCCAATTGCGCACAGCACAGCATAATGCATGTTTAATCAAAAATAACACTTTTTTTGTTTTCCCCCCACCTATGTTCTTCCCTCTATTCCACCTTTCCTACAGTCACTTTATTTCTTTTTCCTTCTCTTGAGGTATGCTCCACAGATGATAAATTATCATTATTCATGCGTGAGCTTTACCAGCGAATGTTTTTTTTGCTGCGGCCAAGGTGCACATACCCACACCCAGCAGCAGGGGTCTCTGCATAGCAATCAGGAAGAACCCTTTCTTCATGCAAAAACGTTGAGGCCAAATAGAGCAGTGCTCTACTTCTGCTCAACCAACTCTGCACAAACAAGTATTCGAACCTATGACTTTCTGCTCTGTGTGGGGAGGTAAACCTGCAGTATTCCTTAATCAGATTCCTTAATAAGTATGTCACGTTAAATCAAGAGATCACAATATTGATTTGAACTATTTGTAGAGCAAACAGTGGGTCAACAGGAATTCTAATACATTCCTTATCAAGGTAGCCCTTTTAAAAACACTTAGAAACTTAAATTGATAAACTAACTGTAGCCAAATAAATAAGAATGAAATGGATTACGGGTTAGTTGTACTTGGTACATTTTAGCAAGTTATGTAAGAGGGTTATCTTATTAATTTGTGTTATGTAAATAAAAATGAGTATATATATTTAAAAATATTGGCGGAATATTGAATTATTGAAGTGTGCCTTGTGAAGATGTCAATATGTTGCAAGTTGGGTACTTTTCTCCATGAAACAATTTGTAACACATTTATTTGTGTATTGAGAAATGCAACCGTTCAGGAAGTTTTCAATAATGGAAGTGCAGAAGTTATTGCCTGAGAATGGGAATGCTATCAGCTTCTATTGCAGGTATTGAGCAAGTTCATGGATGGATAACCTGATGGCTGACACCAGCATCCACTGGTGAATATTGCAAAAGTGATGCTGCTCTGTCAAGATATCTACATTTACTCCGTTAATAAGTTAAGTACCAAGGCAACATCTGTTTGGGTAGATTGCTTGGATTCAATGAGCCTGGAAGGAAGTACTTTGTGCTGGAGAAGGCTACACACTGAGTTTTGTTTTCTCCTTGGAGTTACCAGGGACTTGATGTAATTGTTTCAAATAATCAGCGCTACACATTTGCTGAATCATTGTGGCATAGCATTTCTGAAGCATTTGCCTTTTAAACTACCTTAGATTTATTTCCGGAAGAAGTACTGTTTATTTTATCAATATACCTGAAATTCTACTAAACATGCCTGGAACCCATTCACCTAGTGAATCCAGAACCTTGGCATCTTGTTTGACCCTCAATTGTCCTTTCTATCCCACATCCGTGCCATGTCCAGCTCTGTTTTCCCCCATCTCCGCAACATTGCCCAGCTCTGCCACTCCTCATCCCTCAGGCATCTGAAACCCTTATCCACGCAGTCATGACATCTCGGCTCGACTATTCCAACTTGTCGGCTTTCTTGACTCTCTTCTCCACAAGCTGCAGATCATCCAGAACTCTGCAGCTTGTGTCCTCTCCCGCACTAGGCTCTGTGACTCCATCTCCCCATACTCGCCCGGCTCCACTGGCTCTCCAACCCCCAGCAGATAAAGTTCAAAATCCTCATCCTCGCCTTCAAGGCCCTCCACAGCCTTGCCCTTCCCTAACTCTGTCACCCTCTGACCCTATATCAATCTATCCGCTCCCTACGCTCTGGCCTGTTCCACATCCCCTGCCCCGCCCGGTCCAGCATCGGCGGTCCAAGATCAAATGTTGATGTACAACTTGAATCCACAAAATTAAGATGAAGAGGTAAGAATTCTACTAACTGAGCCAGCCTGACACCACATTTTTATCTTTTGAGGTAAAAATACACATCTTCATCTCTCCCAATAGTTGAGCCCCAAAACCCTTGAAGTAAGTTCCACACAGTTTCACTACAAACATGTCTAATAACAGACCACAAATATGTACGAGTTTCAGGTTCAGCATGCACAATCAATTAGTCTCATAACTTGAGATAACAAGAAAGTTGAAATATCCACAAGTTTCTAATTTTTGAGAATCTGGAAAAAATAATTATTTTCAGTAGGACAAAAGAAGTGTCAATTAGCAATTTATATTATACATTATAAGAAAACTCACCAAAGGGGCGGGTGTTTGGTTGGTTCTAAAAATTTAGACTGATGATTCAGTATTTCTAGCATTGAGTTGAAATTCACGTCTGGCACAGTATTAACAACCGTCAGGATGGCACCCAGTCTCTTTGCACGATTTCTGTTTAAACAAAAGAAAATTATATTTGTCTTTGAATAAAGAGAATTTAAAAATGGTTACCTCAGTCAATCACATTTTTAAATAATATTCCTACTCAAAAGGCAGCCGTAGTTATTTCTTGCACCATTAGTTTTTGTCTGTTAATTACAAAGTCTGTAATTATTGAAACAATGTTCAGCATTAAAGTGTTTAGAATGTACACTATAATCAGACCATAAATGGCTCCTTTTCATCCATTTGATGTAAGGCTTACGTAACACTAGTCTTCAAAAGATAGTAAGGCTAGACATTGGAATTCAAAATTATTTGATTCTGAAGAAAAAATTGTCACACTTCTAAAACTGTCTCGCAGGTAATTCTGAAGGATACTACTTTTGGATCTAGAGAAATCCACAATCTCCAGGGTTTTGTCAGTATATGGTAGTTTGTTCAGCTTTTGCCTGAACTTAGAACCTGTGTTTCCCTCTATAATAACCGTAGCATTATGGAAACATAACTATGCTCCTAGACAACTAAGTCTACAAAGTATGTAATTAACCTGTTAGATAGCACCTTCACCAGTTAGTTGTATAGGTGCAGAATATGAATATGGTGGAGTCCTGTAGCTCAGTGGTTAGAGCACTCGCTTTGCAAGCGAGAGACCTGAGTTCAATTCCAGGCAGAGGGCGAAACCTTGGGCAAGTTTCCTTACTCCACACAGAGCCTACTAATAATCCCTCCAAAACCAAAAACAATAATAAATTGGTCATTTTCAATCTACGACTGTTTGTGGGACATTGCTGTGCGCAATTGGCTGCCGCGTTTCGCCCACAAATATACAGTCAATTCACTTTACAGTATATTCTGTGAAGCGCTTTGGGACGTCCTCCAGACGTGAAAAGCGCTATATCAAATGCAAGGATTATTATTATTATATATGAGTAAACAGAACCTTCTCCACAACCTAGAGGAACATGGTCTAGTCTGGTTGATAAAATTACCAATGCTAAAAATTAAAATAAATTTCCTATCTAATCTTGGTGGTAATTAACACGATTGTAACACCAGCTCAAACCTACATCCCACAAACAGTGGGATGAGTGAATGACCAATTTTATTAGGGAGATTTGTTTGCTAGGACACCGGAAAAACTCCCTTCTCTTTTCGAATAGTACCATAGGATCTTGAACATCCACCTGAACAGGCAGACAGGACCTCAGTTTAACATCTCATTCAAAGGACAACAGCTCTGACAAATCAACATAGCCCCAGCTTTGCATTGGAGTGTCAGCTTAGACTATTTGATTTCAAGTTCCGGTGCGGGGTTGCTTCCCTACCTCTCCAACCTCCTAATAACAATAATAATAGTCCTATTAGATATAGCACTTTTCACGTCTTCTAGATGTCTCAAAGCGCTTCACAGAATAGACTGTAAAGTGAATTGACTGTATATTTTGTGGGCGAAACGCAGCAGCCAATTGCACACAGCAGTGTCCCACAAACAGTCGTGGATTAAAGTGAACAATTTTTTTTAAAATCGGGTGTGTGGAGTGTAAGGAAACTTGCCCGAGGTTTCACCCTGCTAGGAATTGAACGCAGGTCTCTCGCTTGCCAGGCAAGTGCTCTACAGGACTCCTAACCCCATATCAGCTTGTCCGCTCTCTCCACTTGGCCTGCTTCAGGTCCCCTGCACTTCCCACCACACCACTGGTGGTCGGGCATTCTGCATTTCTGCCCCCACAATCTGGAACTCTATCCCTCAATCCCTCTGCCTCACCCCCTCTCTTGCTTCCTTCAAGTCCCGTCTAAAGACTTACCTCTTCAGCCGTGCCTTCGGCCACTCTCCACCCCTCCTGACCACAACTCGGGTCCAACAAATCCTGATTGTCCAGCACCCTGCGATGTCTTTCCGACGTGAAGGGCGCCATACAGGTGTAATTTAGTGTTGTCTGAACCCATAACCTTCTGACTCAAAAGAGAAAGTGCTACCACTGACCAGGCTGGCACAAGTGAGATCACTTCACTCTCACCATTGCCTCGCCTTATACCCATAGGTTACAGGGAGAAGTTATTTCTAGAAAGAAGTTATTTCAAACCTGTCTCTTTCATATGCCTGTTCACTTCATTCTAGAAAACTACAATGGAATCTGACTTCCATCCCCCTACTCAGCAGGACATTCCACATCCCAACAACTCTCAAGTGAAAACATTTCTTCTAAGTTTTCCATTCACTATTCTTGTGGCTATCTTATAACTACGTTCTCTAGTTACTGACTCCCCTATCAATGGAAATAATTTCTCCCTGTTATCCTAATAAAACCCCTCATAATGTTGTACATTATGGTGTCCTGTAGCTCATGGTTAGAGCACTCGCTTTGCAAGCGAGAGACCTGAGTTCAATTCCAGGCAGGGCGAAACCTTGGGCAAGTTTCCTTACTCCACACAGAGCCTAATAATAATCCCTCCAAAAAAAACAATAATAAATTGGTCATTTTCAATCTACGACTGTTTGTGGGACATTGCTGTGCGCAATTGGCTGCCGCGTTCACCCACAGATATACAGTCAATTCACTTTACAGTGTGTTCTGTGAAGCGCTTTGGGACGTCCTCCCGACGTGAAAAGCGCTATATCAAATGCAAGGATTATTATTATTACACCTCTATCAGGTCCCCCTTCAACTTTCTCTGCTCCAATGAAAATGGACCCAGCCTCTCCAATCTCTCTTCATAACTGAAGCCTTTCATGCCTGGAATGATTCTCATCAACTCCCTCTAAGGTCTCACTTTCCTGAAGTGAGGTGCCCCAAACTGGATGCAAAACTCCAATCGCTGCCAAATCAATGATTTATGCAAACTTAGCTTTTATTGGTTTCCTTTTGTATTCTATGCATGTGTGTATTAATAATAATAATCCTTGCATTTGATATAGCGCTCTATTCCCCAGTGCCTTCGCCTTGCCTCCTCCCTTTCCTCCTTCAAGGCCGGTCTCAAGACCTTTCTCTTTGACCGTGCCTTCAGCTCCCCTCTCGAATCTCTACCCCCTCCTCGCTCCCTCCCTTCCCCCTAACCATTTCCCCCCTGCTCGGGTCCTGACCCAACTGTACAGCGCCTGGGACGTCCTCCCGACGTGAAAGGCGCTCAATAAATGGAATCTTGTTGTTGTTGTATGCTATTAGCTTTCTTTATAGCCTTTGTTACTTGTGATCTCCACATCCATGCCTGACCCGCTGTGACTTCCCACACCCCCGCAACATTGCCCGGCTCTGACACTGCCTCTCTGCTCAAGCGGCCAAAACCCTCCTCAAGGCACATCCTAAGACACTCCTTTTCGACCACGCTTTTGGCCACCCTCCTACCCTTCCTGCCCTCCACCCCACCAGAACCCAACCCGCTTGGGTCCAAATCCCTGACTGTCCAGTGCCTTGGGATGTCCTCCGGATGTAAAAGGCTCTATACAAGTGTAATTTGTTGTTGTGATGTCACTTTTAATAACTTATGTAGCTATGCTCCCAAATCTCTTTGCTCCTTAGCTACCTGCAAGTTACTGCCATTAAACAGAAACTCTCTTGTATTAAAGGAGACTGAATGCTTTGAATATTGCTGGCCTGAATCGATAATAGATCTGAAGGCGATTGTAATCTGTAACCCAAGCGTTTTAAACTTGGATTGAGGAGAGAAATCTCCCTTCTATTCTCCAAATCATCCTGTGCTCACACTGTCGTATAAATGTTATCAATGAAATGTACCCAGATTAACTTCACTTTTTATTTATTTTACTTCCTCTTTAATTCAGCGCCTTGGGACGTCCTCCCGACGTGAAAGGCACTCTATAAATTGAATCTTGTTGTTGTTGTTGTTGTTCCTTATTACATTTGGGTAGTGACTTCAGTATCACTGTAACCGCTCCATGATTGTACTTTGCATTGAAATATCGGTTATTGGAAAGCATTTTCTAATTCTGTGAAACTGTTGTTTACACTATGATTAAGCATTTGTACTTACTCCCTTTTCATTGCCACCTTTTTTCTAGTTGCTTTATCCAAGGAACTTTGTAACTCTATAAACTTTGATTTCAATGTACCAATTGGATTCTTGCTCTCCTTTAATCTAAAGAGAAAAAAAATCAATAAATCAGGCAAAGAAGCAACTAGTTTATAACCACACATTTTTTCTCATGAAAGGAGTTCTACTACTGCAGGAAGCCCTCTGAAACATTATTCTTGAAAGTTGAATGTTGGCAAAGTAATTTATTTGAACGTAGGGTTGCAAAACACACACCACCATTGGTGACCGAGCCTTTAGCTACTATGTCTCTAACCTCTGAAGCTCCCTCCCTCTACTCCTGTGTCATGATTCCCTCTCTGTCTTAATCACACCTTAACACCTCTTTAACAGTACCTATGGTTACCTCACCCTTACTCAGCAACTGCCCCATCATTGTAAAGCATTCTGAGATGCTATCCTAGGTGAAGGGTGCTATTTATGTGTAAGCTGTTGTTGATGTTTACCTGGTAGTCACATATGTGCACCTTCTATAAATACAGTGGATACTGGGTAGGAACTAATGCCCTGTATTTTTCATTCTCTAACTCCAGTTAATGAATCCAACATTGCTTTCCTTAGAATAGCCCAGGAATGAAAATGAGGTTTTCTGAAGACTCATGGCGAGGGGCAATAGAAAAGTACGGCTGTAATTTTTCCGCAGAATCCGCCACAAACACCCCCTGCCGCTTCAAACAGCACCCTCCACTAAAACCTTCGCCACTCTGCTAAAACCTGTAAAAANTTAAGTTTCCTCGGCAACTGTTCCTTTGGGCACTGCTGTTTTCTCGCCGCATGCACGGTGAGACGCCAAAGTGGGTTTCGTTTACACTGAGGCCCCGCTGTTGAGATTGTCTGTGTGTATCTCTCTCCTCTGTATGTGTGTTTGTGAGTGTCTCTCTCCTCTGTCTGTACTTGTGGTGTTTCTGTGAGTGTCGGTGTCTCTCTGTGAGTGTGTGTGTGTTTCTCTATGTCTGTGTGCAGTGGCGGGCCCCGAGAGACAGGAGGTGGTGACCTCCTGGAGTCACACATTCAGGACACTGGCCTTCCAGTGTAGTGCAGTGTGGAAATTGACCATTCAGCCTGCGTTACTATCCCCTCCCCCATCACCCCCACAAGTGGACCGCCCAGTATTTATTAAAGCATTAATAATTTTTTTTCCAACAATCTAATACGTGTTATTTCTTCATATTTAGTCTTTATCAATAAAGTGAAAAAATGAAGATTGGCAGTAAAACATAGCTCTCAATAGCATCAATCAACTTCCTGCAATTTTCCACAAAATTTGTCAAATTTCCCTGCAATTTGTGGAGGCCGCAGTTGATGAGGAGACTTGCTTGCTTCCCCTCAGCTCGGGAGGGACTTCCTAACCCCAGCAGCAATGGCCAGTATTATTTTCACTCCCTGTGCATTGAGCTACTGCAGTGAGAGGACGGGAAGAGGATGTGGGTGGCCCAAAGTAGGAAATAGTAATAATCCTTGTATTTAATACAGCACCTTTTCACATCATTGAGACATCTCAAAGCGCTTCACAAAATATGTGGATTGTGATTGATCCACAAACAAGTGGATTGACTATATATTTTATGGGCAAAACGCAGCAGCCAATTGAGCACAGTGGATGGCAAGCCGGATGAAATTATTCCCTGGGCCAAACCCCATCTTACATTATATATATTAATATAGAAATGGATTATATGTAATATAAATTTAGGAAGAATATTAATACTCACTTCTGTTGAAAACGTTCTTCTTCAGCTGGAAACGACAAACACAATAGAAACCTCCAAAAATTATTTGAAATTTAGGCAATAATGTTAGCTTATCATTGGTACTTTTCAAGTTACTCATTTTCTAGAACAGTATATTATCTCCACAAACAAATGTGAGCATTATTTTTGGGTTCAAATAACATTGAAGAAGACTTTCCAACATTATAAGTTATTCTTAATTCACACTTTTTGGTTAGCTTAATGCTTTAGAGTATCCAAATCAAACTGATGTACATTCACATATGTACTTTGCCTACACTTGGAAATTTCTCTGAAACTAGAATGGAATGTACACTCTCAACCTGGAGAGGCCACCCTGCCTACCTAATTCCAGAGAGTATTAGGTATAGGTTGTCAAGAGCTAAAGCTTGAGTATCCCAGAGCGTGTATTAGGGTACTACCTGGCTCTGGAAACCACTAGAAAGTACTTAACAGCCAGATCCTACATGTTTGGAGAGATGAGGGTGTGGGGAGAACAAACTTTATTTCAAACCCTGTTAGGATCAAATGACTTTTAACACTTCTATCTGTTTGACACTCTACATTTTCTTTTTCTTATTACAAATGCATTGCTAAACTTCATTTTAAACAATAAATTACTTTGCTAGAATAAGTTACGTTTTATAAGTTTCTTACTTTTCTTAGCCTCAATCAGTGCTAACCAGGGAGGAAGGTCTGACATTTCACCATCTATTTCTTTGGCGTCTTTTGCAAGTGGCTTTGATTTTGTCTTTATAATTCTGTAAAAAATGATTTTTTTAAATTCACATCAATTCTGTGAGGAAGTGTCACTCCTCTGTCTATCAAGTTAAAGGCTATTGTCTCTGTGACATTGACTTCATTTCTAATCAATGATGTTTTATAACCATAAAACCATTATATGTTTATTTCAATATTTTGGTCAATTTCTCTCTCACATTCTCCTGAGCTGCCACCCTCAGCTCAGGCACCCAGTTGGTTTTGTCAAACACTTTGACATGTACTCCTTGAGGCGAAAGGCACTATATATGTGTAAATTAGATAGTAATTGTATTTTTACGTGACAGGTGCTATATAAATGCAAGTCGTGATTTGAGCTCTAAGAAAAAATCTAAGCTAAACAAAATAGAACTAAATATTTCATAGCAAACAATTAAAAGAATTCTTACCCAAATACTTTAGTTGATAAATCACAACCTGTAATTTAAAGGGAAGAAAAAATACTTTGAATTAAACAGAAAATGTATTTTAAGGTTTATTAAAATGCCAGTTTGGCTCTGTTAGTAACAATTTAGCCTAAAGGTCCACACCTGGATTTGGGTTCATAATCTAGGCTGATACTCCAACAATGCATTGCTGGGGATACCATTCCTTGGAGGATAAAATAAATTAAGATCCCATATGTCTTTCTTGGCCATTGAAGTGGAAGTTAAAACCCAATGGCTCTATACGAAAAATGAACTTCCAGGGAGTATTCATTCCTTATCCAAAAGCAGTAAATTGGTCATTCAACCCATTACTTTAAGTGTCAGCCTGTTTCAGGTATAGGTGTCGTTTCTAGCATTTTTACCTTTAAGTCTATCAGGATTTGAACTTAAAATCTATGCTAACACTTAAATGCAATGTTGGGAGTGTGCTGCATTGTTGGAGGTGTCGTCCTTCGGTAAGACATTAGACCAAGGTCCGTCTGCTAGTTTAGATGGACATTAAAGATCCCATGGCACTATTTGAAAAGGGAAGGGAGTTTCTCCAGTGTCTTGCTCAACAATCCCCCAGGTAAAATCACTTTGTGACTGTTTGTTGGACATTATCATATTCAAATTGGCTGCCACTTTCCCTATAAAATACAGTAATTGCACTTAAAAGTAAAATATTGTGAAGGACTTTCTCTCAATGTGAAAGTTGCTATATCAAATGTAAGGATTATTATAATAATAAGGGGTTAATGGAGGATGAAGGCATCAACAAAGGATGAAAGGGTTAACAAAGGACATTGGTTATTACAGGTTGTGAAATATTGCTGGTGAAGATATGAGGAATACTAGCACTAGGAACCAGCACATGTTAGATGCCAGAAATTCTTTTTTTAAAAATTGGCCTGATAATTTTACAACAGGGTTTGGGTGGGGATGGGTGGTGTGTACGCTGTTGGGGAAGTACATACATTTAAGGCCCTTCTTTGGCAAGAACCAGAATTAAGATAAGCAACTTTCCCTTCTCTGTTAGTTTGAACTCCAGAATCTAGTTGAATTATTTTCTGCACCAGCTACAGGGTATCTAGTTTTCAATGATTTATGAATATTAAATCTTTTATTAATCTTGTGGTTTTCAATATAGAATATATTCTCATCTAGATATTTTTATTTCTAACATGTACACTTTACTATACTGAGATCAAGGAAAGACGGGTGAGAAGGTTGTGGGTTCAAGCTTCAAGTTAAATCCTAAAGTCACAGTCTGGACTGATACTCCAATACAGTGCTGGATTTTCTGAGGTGCCCTCTTTTGAATGAGCTGTTAAATCAAGGAAACATTTTTTTTTAAGATGACAGTTTTAGCTCAAGTACCTGAACTCGGTGGTCGAATTTCACTGTGAACAAAAGATTTCCATATAGAATCTGAAGTATGCATATCTTCTGGTGATAGTATGATCGATGGATAACACTTCCTCAGAGTTGAGCGAGCACTAAAGTAATTTAAGAAGTATATAAACATTAACCTTGCAAGCTACTTTCAAAATTTTAAAAATGGTCCTACAGAATGCTGTACACATGAAATACACAAAGCATACAGGCACGGTTTACCTTAGCTTCTGCAGTTTCAGACCACAAGCAAAAACAATTTGCAGAATTAATTGATTTGGTTGAAACCTAAACAATATAGATGTCCCCTTCAGTTTGTAGAACTCTCGCTTCAAAGTCATTATCCTTCAAATGAGATTTTAAAACTAGATACATGCGCCTGGTCAGGTAGACGTTAACAATTACCACAAAACTAATTTGAAAAGAGAAGGGCCCAGGTATCCTGGCTAACCATCTCCCAAATACTTTGTGGTTGTTTATGGAACCTTACTGTGCATACAACTGACTGCTGTTTGCTGACAAATAGTAGCACCTTCGAGATGTTTTGAGTTTATAGCCACTATTTCCAAAGTTACAATGATTGAATTATAATTATCCCAGAATAATTCAAGGCAACGTAATGCTTCCACTACATATCTTTGTGTTTTTGTACTTTATTAGTGATTAAACTGCATCCATCAATATGAGAGCTCTATGGTAAAATGTGCCTCCAACCTTCTTGACTAATTTCAAAGATGCTCAACTGAATTTTGATATCTAAATTCTATTTTTACCAGTGCAAGCAATAGTGTTCAGTGCAAGCAAATACTACCACAGCATCCTGTAGAGTTTAAAATCTATATTACTTGAGATTAGTCCCAATATAGATGATGCATTTGATATTATGTCTTATCACATCAAACATAGTAGTGACTACTTTGTCAGTGAACACGGCAACTAATTTCCACACACAATATTCCACAAATAATAATAAAACTAATCCTTGCATTCAATATAGCGCCTTATCACGCCTTCGAGACCTTTCAAAGCGCCTCACAGAATATACTGTAAAGGGAATTGACTGTATATTTTGTGGGCGAAATGCGGCAGCCAATTGCGCACAGCAGTGGCCCACAAAGAGTCGTGGATTGAAGTTACCAATTTTTTTTTGAAGGAATGATTTTTTTGAAGAAATAATCCCTCCAAAAATAAACAATAATAAAAAATTGGTCATTTTCAATCCATGACTGTTTGTGGGACACTGCTGTGCGCAATTGGCTGCTGTGTTTCGCCCACAAATATATGGTCAATTCACTTTACAGTCTATTCTTTTAAGCACTTTGGGATGTCGAGAAGACGTGAAAACCCCTATATCAAATGCAAGGACTATTATATATTACCACCGGAAAAGCGATCCACCAATCAACTAACAGACGGGTTCCTACTTACTGTTATAATAATAATAATCCTTGCATTTGATATAGCGCTTTTCACTTCGGGAGGACGTCCCAAAGCGCTTCACAGAACACAATGTAAAGTGAATTGACTCTATATTTGTGGGCGAACGCGGCAGCCAATTGAGCACAGCAATGTCCCACAAACTGTCGTGGATTGAAAATGACCAATTTATTATTGTTTTTGGTTTTGGAGGGATTATTATTAGGCTCTGTGTGGAGTAAGGAAACTTGCCCAAAGTTTCGCCCTCTGCCTGGAATTGAACTCAGGTCTCTCGCTTGCAAAACGAGTGCTCTAACCACTGAGCTACAGGACTCCACAGGTTAGGTAAACAGAGGCGTGTGGAATACTGAAACTTGCCCAATATTTCGCCCTGCCGGGAATCGAACCCAGGTCTCTCACTTGCGAGGTGAGTGCGCTAACCACTAAACCACAGAACTCCACAAATAGCAATGAAGTGAATAACTGATTTAATCTGGGAGATTGCTGGCCAGGGTACTGGTAAAAAATCATTTTTTTTTTAGAAGAGTCAATATCTTTAACGTCCACCTAAGGGGGCAACATCTCATCTAAAGGAGAACACATCTAACAATGCAGCACACTCCCAGCCTAGACTAGGTGAGTGCCAGCGTAGACTATGACCTCAAAGTCTTAACATGGGGCTTGAACCCACAACCTTCTGGCTCAGAGTCAAGTGTGTCATCATCTGAGAGAGGCTGACACATGTAACAACAGAGAGAAAATGGTTACATTACCAAGTCACTAAATGAAATATAATATGCTTTGTGTACCATCTTTAATTCAATCAAAAGATTCTTACTGTCACTAGTATACTACACAAATTGTCAATAAACTAAACCTTACTGAATGGTTGGAAACAACAGAAAATCCTAGCAATGCAAGGTAGATTCTCCCTCTCATGCACTGTCACAGTCCTTATCCTCAATCCTCTCATTTTCCACCTACCAACCTTCTCTCCCCCCACTCCCCACCACCACCACCCACACACACAGTGCCAATGTTTCACAATATCTACGTAAATTCACACTTCTTCCTTCTCTCTCCACTTTCGAATTACCTTACCCATCATTTGTGTGCTAGTCTGGTTTAACTGGTAGCATTCTTGCCTCTGAGTCATGAAGGTTGTGGGTTTGACACCCTACCCCTTTTGGAATTTTGAATTCATAATCTAGGCTGACGCTTCAGTGCAGCGCTGGGGAGTGATGTGTTGTTAGAAGTGTCATTTTTGAGATGAAACATCCATTAAAGATCCCATGGCACTATCTGAAAAGAGAAGGAAGTTTCCACCCAGTGTCCTGGCCAACAATTCCCCAGATATAATTGATCATTCACCTCTTGTCTGTTTGTGGGACATTGCTATATGCAAACTAGCTGCCATGCTCCTCTACAGAATACAGTCACTGCACTTTACGGTAAATCATATGAGCTGCTTTGAGACATCCTCTGACGTGAAAGGCACTATATCCAATATAAGTATTATTATTATATAATACTATGAAGTTATAAAGGGGATACATTTCTTTAGCAGAGCAGATTTACAGGTCATTTGATGTGCAGGTTACTGAACAAATCATATCTATTCTAACAATCTAGCTGCTTTAGTGACAAACAATATGAATATACAGTAATTCTTTTCGACACATGATAACATTTTATATAAGATTTGTTCTTACCTTTCTTTTTGCAAGGGTCTGAGAGGCCTCGCATTCCTTTCAGTTTGAAGATCTTTCATTAGATATTGTATATAATCACTGGACAGTGGCGTCTAATTGAAAGATATGTTTTGTTTGTCAATGCAAATTTGATACAAATATTTAAACAATTCTAGTAACAAAATATTCTAATTTTGCTGGCAAAGTATTCTGCAATGAATGTAATTCAGGTGCAGAGTACTTTAGTATCAGTTCCTGGAATTCCAGTTGTAAATTATTTTTCCCCTTGTAGGTCTAACTTTAATAATCAATTGTTTAGAAAAAGTAAAACCAAGTATATTAATGAGGTAGTACACATACATAATTCAAGAAGTGGGAAGTCAGTTGCAAGAGAGTACAATACCATATCAGTATTAAAGAAACTGCAGGGCAGATAAATTGGATGCTGTAATTCCACCGAGCCTTTACCTTTAAAACGATTTATTGTAAAAATTTAAGATGTTGCAGAATTCTGAAAAATTCTTACAATTTGGAGGTCAGTTTTCCAGTTATTACAAAGAACATGGCTTCCAAATTAAAACTGAATTAAATAATTTTCCACAATGCATAGAATCACAGAATATTACAAGACAGAAGGAGGCCATTCGGCCCATCGTGCCTGTGCCGGCTCTTCAGAAGAGCTAAGCAATCAGTTCCATCCCCCCCTCTTTCTCTATGCCCCTGCACCTATCTAATTCCCTTTTGAAAGTTGTTATTGAATCTGTTTCCACTACCCTTTCAGGCAGTGGATTCCAGACCGTAACAATTCTCTGTGTAAAAAAACATTCTCATTTGCCCTCTGGTTCTTTTGCCAATTATCTTATATCTATGTGCCCTGGTTACTGACCCACCAGCCAGTTTACCTTATCTACTCTATCAAATGCCCTCATAATTTTGAACACCTCTATTAAATCCCCTTTAACCTTCTCTGCTCCAATAAGGACAATCCTAGCTTCTCTAGTCTCTCCACATACCTAAAGTCCATCATCCCTGGTACCATTCTGGTAAATCTCTTCTACACCCTCTCCAAGGCTTTGACATCCTTCCTAAAGTGTGGTGCCCAGAATTGGACATGATCCTCCAGCTGAGGCCTAACCAATGACTTATAAAGGTTTAGAAGAACCTCCTCGCTTTTGTACTCTATGCCTCTATTTATAAACTCAAGGATCCCATGTTTTTAACAGCTCTATCAACCTGTCCTGCCACCTTCAAAGACCTGTGTATGTGAATAACCTCCCATGTCTCTCTGCTCCTACCCTTTAAAACGGTACAATTTATTGTATATTGCCTCTCATTATTCTTCCTCCAAAAAAGGATCATCTCACATTTTTCTGCATTAAAGTTCATCTGCCATGTGTCTGCCCATTTTGCCATTCTGTCTATTTCCTCCTGCAGTCTGCTACCATCTTCCTCACTGTTTACCATGTTCCCAAGTTTTGTGTCATCTGCAAACTTTTAGATATTGCTAAGTCATTCACACATATATCCGCATAATCTTACATTTTATGACAAATGGTCCTGAGTGCTGAGACCAGATGAAATTTTAGGCCTTCAATGATGCTGAGTGAACAAACTCCCCTAAAGCTGGAGGCAGCTCCAGGTTTTTCCTGATATTTCTTCTGGATCTTCTAGAAAGTTTGCTTCTACTGCCCATTTTCCTTACGTTTAGCATACTGCAGAAATTTCTTTAAGAATTTGCTTTACTTTTGCTGTAGTACAATCAGCCCATTCTAAACTATTAGATTTTTTTAAAAAATGTTATGTCTTAAAAATTAGTCTATTTAATTTTGTCTGATCCATGGAACATGTGTACCTCCTATTTAATTTCCTATTACGCATTTATCTTAATAACTACTGCATATCATATAGATTCTCCATCAATTGTGATGCCAATATTCTCAAAAAGTTGGTCTTTGAATCTACACTTTCTGTTGTCATGTTGGCTGTTATATATTATTTCATATTATTATTGTTTAGTTAGTTGGTTGGTTATTTGCTTATTAGCTGTAAATTAGCCTCTCAATTAGCACTGTGGAATTATTGTGTAGTATTTGAACTTATTTTTACATTGTTTAATTATAATGTGCAATTTGAATATGATGTTTGCACTTTTAACTAACAAAAAACACAAGTCAGAACAAACTTGAAATTCCATAAAAATTACATTTTATTTTATATGGAATTTTTTCCGTATCCGAGATTAAAAGTTGGTTAGCAAGGTTTCCTTGGAGTTGAGTTGTCTCCCAAGGTAACATGCTTGGCAATGGAATGTTGGAATCAAGTCAATCCTATGTGATGCTCTTAGCAGTCCGGTTCCTGAGCCAGGCAGATCTGCAATGCTCCAGAGCACTGCTGACTACAGCCCAACCAGTCTGGCTCATTGTTAAGATTTGGAGAAGCGGACTAGTCACAGAGATTCTTCCCACTCAGTTTCCCTTAACCACGCAAGTCAAAGCTCTAAGTGGTAGGTTGGTCCTAGCTGGATAGGTAGTGGGAAGCTTACCAGACAATGCTCTCAAAGGCAAGCTATGCGGTTTTAGTAGTACCTGAACACACACTCAAATCCCCAAGCCTCATCTCTCTCCAGCCTACACCTAATATTTCACTGGAATTAGGAATGCAGCGCATATCCCTCCAGGGAGCAAGTGTGCATTCTATTCCAGACATAAAAAATGTTCCAAACGTAGATGGTGTACATACGTGGAACTCTTTCTGGTTTGGATACATTCAAGCACAGTGATGGGTTTCTGCATGCATCAGTTACCTGGCTTGAAGAAAGCAAAAGCAGCCCCAGCTGAGACTGGATATATGCCAATTGTTGGCAATTCAATATTCCTTTAATTTTGTAACACTAATTCATAAATACAATTAGTATGATACTCACTATATTTAATTAAATGGTTACTTTTCATACTAATCCTCCTGCAATTGATTGAACATCACACAGAGAATTTATGGACTTACAGAACGTTTGAGATCTCTGCATCTCATATTCAGAAGCCCGCACAATACACTGTAAATGATTTTCAGTTTTTCAATGAAATGCTCCCTCCTTCTGGCCTGTATTCTCCTTTGTGAAACAGCATAAAACATTCCATTATACGATGTTAAGCAAGCTAGTCTAGAACATTTTGAATCTATCCACTGTATACAATGGAACCCAGTACAACTTTTTTAATGTAGACATATATTTTCTTATCTCTACAGACAGACACAGGGAGACACATACTCAGACACACACACACACACTCACAGAGACACACGCTCACAGACACATACACACTCACAGACATACACATGCAGACAGAGGAGGGAGACACACAGCCAAGCTCAACAGCGGGGATTCAGGGTGAGTGAAGCCCATTTCCCGCTCATGCTGCACCACGCATGCGGTCCAGAGCTGCTCTGCTTACAGTATCTACGTTGAGTAAACAGCCGGCAGCACCACGCAAAGGCCAGGGGCTCTGAACACAGAGTGTTTGTAGCGGAGGGGGTTGTTTTTAGCATAGGGGGGGTGTTTATGGCGGATTCTGCAGAAAAATTGCAGCCACACTTTTCTATTGGCCCAGGCTATGAGCAACATTAGACAATCTAGGGGTCTTCAATCCCGAGAAGATGACTCACAGGGAACCTCATAGAGATGTATAAAATTTTAAATGGGATTGAAAAAGTGAACCCATCTCAATACCTTAGGATACACCAAGTCAGTAGAAGAAGAGGATGTGGTAAAGGGCAATTTCAGGACAGATACCAAGAAGCTTTTCTTAGAGGTTAATTAATAACTGGAACAGGTTTCCAGGAAGGATGGTGGTGAAGGCCACAATGCTGGGCTCATTTAAAAAGCAATTTGAATTCTTTGATGGGGAAGGGGCAGAGTGGCTGTTCTGGAAGGATGGTTTAGATGAGATGATTTGAAGAGCCTTCTACAAACCAATCTTGTGATCTTGTGACAGATCACAGATGATAGGGACGACAAAGTTAGAATTCATGGCGGCTTCAGGCAAAACTACTGTACTGAAGTTGGATGGTGGTCATTCCTAACAATGTCAAATTAAATACCAGTACTGATCACACTTTTCAGGAATGTTATCGTTATCACAGGTGATATTTCTTATATCATATACTTACTGCCTTTTGCATGCCAAATAATATCACAAATAAAGAGGTAATAGGTAAGCTGAAGGCACTAAGTCATCACATTTACATAAGAGAACTGAAAGCAAGTGACTAATGAAATAATGATCCTTGCATTTGATATAGTGGCTTATCATGTCTTCTAGACGTCTCAAAGTGCTTCATGAAATTTACCGTAAAATGAATTGACTTATTTTTTTGTGAGCAAAACATAGCAGCCAATTGAGACAGCAATGTCCCACAAACAGTTGTGGATTAAGTGACCTACTTATTATTTGTAGTAGTTGTCTGGATCTATTATTAAATCAGGTTCTGGCCGGTATACTTAGACACTGACTGAACGGTGACATACATGGAACTCTCAGTCTCGTTTGGATACTCTTAAACATAGTGATGGGTTTTAACAAAAATCATATTTGTATAACATTTTCATACTTTATTGTGTCCTCATCTTCAAGATCGCTAGGTATATCTCCAAGTAAGAGAATATTTTCTTTTTTCTTTCTTCCTAATATGGTAGTTGCATAAACTAATTTTTTCCATTTTGCACGGGCTGCTCCTATTAAAAAAATGGAGAATTATTATTAAGAGAAGTCTTAAGTATTCTTAACACAGTTTAAGATGATGCATCGGAAGGAATGAAACTGTATGGGAAATATTAAATTTGTGGTGGCATTAGACACTAAGAATTTGAAATATTACCTGTTACTAACATTATACAAATCACTAATTTAAATAATAATCATAAAAATTGCATTTAATATTAGTGCCTTTCATGTCAGGAGGATGACTCAAAGTGCTTCACAGGATATACTGTAAAGTTTAATGATTGTGCATTTGTAGGCAAAGGCAGCAGCCCATTTGTGCAGAGAAATAACCCATAAACAACCATGATGTAAATGACCAATATTATTTGGGATATTGTTGACCAATTTTGTTTGGGACATTGTTGTTCTCCCACAACAATGGGAGATATTCATTCTCTTTTGGATAGTGCAGGGGAACTTTACCATTCACCCTACCAGGCTGTTGGAAAGGACCTGTTTAACATCTGATCCAAAGGCTGACACCTTCAACAAAATAACACAACCTTAAAACTGCACTAGAGTGTCAGCGTAGATATGCGTGGCTGAAGTGGGATTGAACCCACAACATTCTGATTCAGAGGCAAGAATGCTACCGATTGAGCCAGGCTGAGCCATCACTTCTGTTGACTCCAAGCAGGCTGGGAATGGTTTGGAGTGATGAAGAGTCAGTGGCATGGCTGAACAGATTGGAAGTGGATTTAGTGCTTGATGGTTTGGAGCAGGTTGATAGCTACTCAATATTTTCCTTCAATTATCACCTTCTTACTGAGGCAAATTTCACAAGCACTCACATCACCTTGTACAAGCTGCTAGCCGCCACAACAGTGCAAGTGCATTTAACACAATGTTTGAACCCTGCACATCAGGCACTTGATGCTTATGTGACGGCATGAGACAGTGGTGCAACCTATATAATTTTTACAAACTAGCGATCAATCATCAATGGATCTGTATTGTTTGGCAAACATAGGTTGAATGTATTTCAAGGACGTAACACTTCAGGGGCTCAGATACACCGCTGTGCGCAATTGGCTGCTGCATTTCACCCACAAAATATAAAGTCAATTCACTTTACTGTATATTCTGTGAAGCACTTTCATACGTCTCAAAGACATGGTGGGCACTATATCAAATGCAAGGATTATTATTATTATTATTATAAACTACAAGAGATCTCACAGTTTATGATATTATCCTGAGCATCTCAATGTGTTGCTCTCTTGTAGCACATTCCAACCTACACTATATATAATACTGAGGATTATGTGAGAGTATGTTTACTAACAATTAACCTTTCACGGTTTCTAAAGGTTCATTTGTTCATTTCTAGTGTTATGCTGCACACGGGATGATCAAAGAATATTTTGCAAGTTATATTTACCAGAATTAACCTTGCTTTGAACTACAGGCAAAACTCTGAAGCTCGCCAGCTTTCTGGAAGCTGAAAAAATATGGTCCTGTAAAATATGAAAATATTACATTGCAAAACAGATCACAGATAATATTGATAAAGTTTACAAAATATACTTCTAATGTATTTATCCTTTCCATTCTCCTCTGCATTCCCTCTAAGGGCCAGCATGTATTCCACTTATGTTGCAGTTAGCATAACTATAAACAATATTCTAAGATGTGGCCTGACCAGAGAATATAGAATTTCAGTATGACATCTGGGAATCTGAACTCAACTGATTGGGCAATACAGCCCATAATTCCTCTTTATTATCTGAGAAGTTCATTCAATGCAAAATGTTTGTGCCACTTTTACTGTTTTTTCTAAATCTTCTTATTGATCCCACTTTCCATTTTTTTTCTCCATATACCTTAATGATATACATGATTTATCTCTGAAGCAGAGTATCCACAGGTTGGGATGATGTACTTCCAGTTCCACTTCCAGTAAAGGAATTGTCAATTACAACTCAGTCATTATTAATAAATCCGAAGTCCTGAAATTTGGAACCCATTTTTGCTGTTTTGGTATCAAATAGATTACAGATTTATGTGCAGAATGGTTTCATCTAGCAAATTTGTATGTTTTTGTGTTCTTATATATATCAATAAGTTCTTATAGACTTCACTAAAATATATAAATGACTTTCAGAGAATTCATTTCAGAGAATCGTAGCAATTACAGTATAGTATTCCATTAGGCCATTTGAGCTTTGTTGGTGCTATCTCCTCCACTGAAACTATCTAATTGCAACTCCCTACTCTTCATATTCTTCTGTTTGAAATGTTTATCCAATTCGCTGTATAATATTATTATTGAAGCATAAAGAGTCACTGTGTTAAAACATCCCATCTACTGTTAGTCACCTGTATAAAAAGGATTTTTTTCTAACCGTCCCCTGAAATCTTCCAGTGACAATACTAAATTTATGCTCCCGTGTTACAAATTTATCAATCAGCAGGAATAAACTTTCACTATCAGTCCTTAAAACTTGTCAAAATTAGGCTGACCTGCATTAAATCCCCATTTAGGTATCTATATTCTGGTGAAACTAGACCCATATATTGGAACCTATCTTGATAATAACCCCCTCATCCTTGGTATCTGTTATTTGAAGCTACACTGAATTCTTTCCATGATACTGATGACCCTTCTCTAATGGGGTAGCCAGATTTTTATAAAGTACTCCAACTGTGGCTTAACCAATGTCTCAGAAATTTAACAGTATTTCCTTGCTGATGTGTCACTTCAAAGCCTTTTTTATTTAAAACCCAGAATACCTTTCTATAACTTTTCTGAAAGGGCTTTCATCTTTAAAGATGCACTCTTGGTGCACTCTTAGGTCTCTCTGTTCCTTAATATTACTATATCATGAGTAGAGTGTAAGTCTCACCCTTGTTTTTTATTTCTAAAATGTACTAAAGATTTTCAACACTTAACTGATCAGTAACCTGTCTAGCCTCTCTCTGAAACTTAATCATATTATTAACTGACTGTACAATTGCTAACAAAACAAAGCAACTATTACTCCAGAATGCTTAGGGTAATCATTTCATAAAATGATTGTACTATAGTCGCTATCTGAATAATATGCTCCAAAATGCCTTATTTGCTACAGGTAAACTACACATCCAAGAAAATTTATTTTAAAATATACTTGAGCTTGCAAAGATATCAGTTTAACCCTTTTGTGATTTCTTTCTCTTACCACTTCTTGTAGGCAATGTGAAAGAGGCTGCCCCGTATTCATTGCATTTCGAATCCAATCGGTTTGATTTAAATACCGTTTGATGTGGATGAATCCATTCTGTTGTTTCCACAGGTCTTTTTGGAATAGAATGGGCAACTTAGAAATAATTAAATATAGAAATGTTAAGAAGGCAGTTTTTTTTTGTTCATAGATAACCTTAATGTAAGAATATAAAACCAACTTTGTAATTTATCTTATGGATTATCTGCAGTATCTTTTGCAATTATTGTGAAACTGACCAGTCATTAAATAATACCATAACCTGAACTTTTTCTGAATTTAGTGGAAAGAAGTAAATAGCACCAGTGTTTTTTTAAAATGAGAATCTTTGAGGCCCCAAATTCAGTTCACTGCCAAGATGAAAAGAGTATTAGGTAAGCAATCATGAAGTTTTTTGATGATGCCAAAGTCATGATTTAAAACTCAGTTCTTTCTCAGGTTCTCAGGGTTTGGAGTTCCACAATTTTGAGAACCCGAGAAAGAATGAGTTAAATTAGAAAGCAATGGAATGAGTTTCAATTTGAACATAGTTGATTCAGAAAAGAGGAAGATTTATTTTAAGCTCGACAGGAACAGGAAAGGAATGTTTAGAAGAGCGACAGACAACTGGATACAAATTAAACCAAAGGCTGATCGTTCCTTTAGGATTCATCTGTCTGTGTGCAATTGGCTGCTGCGTTTCGCCCACAAAATATACAGTCAATTCACTTTACATTATATTATGTGAAGTGCTTTGAGATGTCTCGAAGATGTGATAAGGTGCTATATCAAATGCAATATTATTATTATTATCCATGGATGCACTCTACACCTCACCAAGCTAGTCCGGATGCTTGGCATCATGTTTGACCTTTCATTGTCCTTTCTACCCCACATCCATGCCATGACCCACTCTGCCTTCCCCCACCTCCCCAAACGTTTGTGGAGGTAAAGTACAAAGTAACTAGAAAGAACAATTAGTGAAAATCATACAGCATGGGAAAGATATATATGTTCAGCTGGACTAACAAGATAGTGATCAATCGAAACCTAATTGATTGCCTGCAGAAGCAATTGTCTTTGCATAGAATTACACAGAATGTTAAAGCATAGAAGCAACCCATCAGTCCACTGACATTAATTTGCATTTACATTGCATCCTGCAAGCAGGTTAGAGTCTCAGAGAGCTTAACAGTGTTGGAGTTAATTAGTCCATACTGATGTTCATACTCCACATAAAACTGTGACTAGATGTGTATGGTACTATAAATGAGAACAAAAACCAAGTTAAAAAAGTGTTAAAAACATTAGAAAAAGATAACTGGAGTTAACTGATATATGGATTTATTATTTATTGTGAAAATTGTGGTCCCATATGGGACGGGTATACTTTTCATAAGGAATTGATTTTTCTCGTGTAGTCTTTGTTAGAGAAGCATTCATTTTACTCATTTTCATCTATCCCTTACCTGCTCTGCTCTTTCTTGAATAAGCCTATTTTGTAATTGTTTTTCTCCATATTTACTTTCAAGTATGTTCTAGTGCAATAAAAAATAAAAAGAATTAGGTATGTATTTTTCATTGATATAATTATAAATACGATGCAAAGTATCAAAAGATGATTAGAAAGTAGAATTAACACTTCAGTTTTCCAATTAATGAGTCAAAATTATGGTATGCTTGAAACAAAAGTGAATAATTTACAGGCATTGTGTAAAGTTATATTTGAGAAATACTGAATCTTCAGACTTATTACTAGGTAATTTTTACTAATTGTAACGGTTAGGTGACTCTAATTTGGACAGAATGGGAGCGGGACCTTCAGCAGTAAACACGACGTTTGAGGTGGAGCTGAACTAGTTGCAGCAGCCAGCGTCCTGGCAGATAAGGGAAGAGTAAATATTGTTACTTATGAGAATACTATGCTATGCCGTACATTGACATTCATGTTATAAATAAGTTGACAACTAGTGTGTGCTCAGTATGAAGTCAATTATTGTTCAACATGTGTATCTATTAGTGTGCTATTGGGTGTATTTGACCTTCCTTGCACTCAACAGTGCAGTATGCCTTGGTGCTTTCTACCTTGGAACTCTATCCCCCAGTGCCTTCGCCGCCTCCTCCCTTTCCTCCTTCAAGGCCGGTCTCAAGACCTTTCTCTTTGACCGTGCCTTCAGCTCCCCTCTCGACTCTCTACCCCCTCATCGCTCCCTCCCTTCCCTCCCCTCACCATTTCCCCCCAATGCTCAGGTCCTGACCCAATTGTACAGCGCCTTGGGACGTCCTCCCGACGTGAAAGGCGCTCAATAAATGGAATCTTGTTGTTGTTGTTGTTGGTGCACCTTCATGAGTTGTCAGATTGGTTCATTCTCCTGTTGCACAGCAGGCCCAGCATTAGGCAGAATACCCTTGTCAACAACAACTTCTGTATTTTTTGTGCAATCCCCAATGAATGGAAAACGAAAGTCTAAAGTTGCTCCTGGCTTTGAGACATCTGCTGTGTACGCCAAGGCAGATGGCTCTGTACCTCCTCTTGTACAACTGCTACTCAAAGATATTTGAGTCAAGTTGTGCCAAGTTGTCATAAGCGCTATTCCAATGCATAAGAACAAACTACCATTTATGCTGACAGCAATTTTTTGCACTATTGTATGTTCATGAATTGAACAGTTTGACCAAACTTCTCTTTAAGGGTTCTAATAGAGAACAAGAAAATTACCCATCCAATCATCTGGCTCCTGATATGTTGATAAGCTGTCATAGCAAACAAGATTTCTAAAACATTCCACACTATATTCTAATCAACTTAACTGTACTTCCAAGTAACAATCACCTTTAAATTTATTTGATCTTCAGAGGTAAGGTGTGGTGCAAACAGATCTTGATTATCCAGAATAACATTTCCTAGACAACGGTATGGCCTGCAAGTACAAAAGAACCCCTTTAAATGTTGGAAAACCCAGTACTTCCTTAAATGTACAGAACTAATCAATAATTTGTGATCTGACTGCAGGTTGTGTATCAGCTTGGCTCACTTGATAGCACTCTCATCTCTGAAGCAGAGGTTGTGGATTCAAACCCCATGTCAAGACTTTCTTGAGCTCATATTCTAGGCTAAACACTCCACAATGAGTGCTGCATTTTTAGAGGTGTCATCCTTCATTGGTGTCAACTTTCCTTGACCTATTTGTTGTGTTAATTAGTGCCAGCGTAAAATATGAAATCTTATTTTTAGCCTTGAATTACTGAGTGATTTGATACAAGTGACAATGCATTCCTCTGTTGTCTTGTAAAGGAATAACACAAGGGAAGACAAATCCATAACCAGTGATTTGTAGGTAGTGGATGACAATTCTGCCAGTGGACATAATGAGTTATCTACCTCTACATTAAAACGCTTCTCGGTCTTTCGGCTAAGATCGAGTGTAGTTTCTGTTCACATCAGTTACCCCTTGAGCTAGGCGATGCTAGAAAAGTTAATCTGTTGAGATTTGCTTGTTTGGTTGCCATGACTAAATCTCACCCATAATAACTGGATATGGGAAGGATTGAGCGCCTGGCTACAGCTATGCTTTCAGACCTCTGTTGGTTGGGATTGGTATTGCAGTACTTCTGATCTGAGGAGTTTGATCTTCCCTTACAAAGAGGAAGCGGAGATACTGGAACTCAGAGCTCACTTGAGCATCTGGTCACTAGGCACAGGCGGGACAGGTGATCTGGTCACTTGACTTGCTCGGGTGGTCGTGAAGACATGGTTCAGGTCCACATTGTCCTTTGACAATTTGGGGCCTAGAAGATTTTGTCTGCAGGGGCAACCCTCATTCCCAAAGTGGAAAACGTTTCGGTCTAATTTGGTTAATGGGGGAGAGCAGGCCTAACCTCGCTCACCAATAAAAAAAAGCTGCATTGTATTTGAGTAAATTAGAGAGGTTAAAATCTTCAGACTGTGCCAGCCATTCTCACCTCCCTTGTCACGCACAGTATTCCAGGCCTTCCCTCTCCCCAATACACACCCCACACATACTCATAGTGCCACCTCTTCTGTCACCCCCACATTCCTTTTTCCTCTCCCACAGTGTCAGCCTTCTCCTCCTACCCTAGTACGCTCTGTCCTACAAACATGCAGTCCCAGCCCACCTGCTCTCTTTATTATACTTGAATAATATTAAACAAACTGAAGAAATCACAATGCTGATTTAAACACATGCATAGATAAAGGTAAAGGATTATCTGCATTAATATATAGTGTGCTTGTCTGCATATCATTGTACAATTTAAAAAAATACTTTTCATGACTATCTCATGATAATGGCCAATGAGCTTCAATCGTTTTTTTCTAGCAATCCACTGTTTTATGGTGATGCTGAAGCTCTGCATTGCTATTTATTGATAACTATATTGATGCCCCTAGGTGTCAACCTAGCCTACTCATGGTAGCACTCTTGCCATTGGTTCAGAACGTGCCCTGAAGCCTCACATTGGGATATGAACTCAAAGTATCGTCTGCTATGTTGTTGGATGTTCAGTATTTTGGGTAAGGCAAACCACTGTTTTGTCTGTCTGTTCTTCAGGTGTTTATCAAATATACATAACATTCAAAAAAGAGTGTTTCCTGATATCCTGCCAACAATTCATGAGATAAACTGGTTTCACATCATAGCTGTTTGCTGGTCTCTGTTGTGTGCAAAAAATGGGTTCCATATTTGCTGAAAAAAATCAGGTTTTGCTCTTATCTGTAATTACTATGAGACACTGTGAAGTGTTTTGATGTAATATGTACCAGAAAAAAATGTTAGTTGTTTATTTCTACTTTTACCAATTTTGTGATAAGTGTACCTTATGATGATGCATTTCGATTTTGTTGGAAAGATACTTCAATTATTTTACAAATTGTATGGCATCAGGATGTCTTCTGAGTACAAATCATTAATGACTTGGCCAACAACAACGTCGACCCCAAAATGACCAACTGTTCTTATGCCATCCATAATGTTTTAGAATTAACTAGATCGGATAAAACCTTAAGTAAACAGTGAAACATACATCAAGAAGCAAAGCTATGTTGATTTTATTGTGTGTTTTAAATTCCTCATGGGTAAGATTACAAAGCTCAGTAATGGCTTCGCTCTGTACCTTAATGTATCTTAATCATTGCTCATCAGTTAAATCTGTGCATCTGTGTAATCAAACAGCCACGTAGGTATTTTCTGTTTTCTTCAGTTATCTTTTTGTAAATCCTTTTATCCCCTCTCTGCCTGGGACTTTGGTTATTGAGAAAAATTGCAGGAACAAACTAAATATATCAGTAGGTAATTCATGCAAGAAAATTGGATGATAATAAAGAGAAACCTACCTCGTGTAACTGCTCTTTGAACAGAATCAAAATGTCCACCCATTTTCATGCACTAAGGCATTGTTCTTAATTTTCATAAATGGAATTCCACCCATAATGTAATTCATATGATATGAAGGTTTATGAAAAAAATTCTAACGTTTTTTCTCAGGAGCAATACTTCTGACATTTTGATGATTAACAAATTGTAGATACACAATACACAATTTGTACTAGAATTTTCAAACATTTAACTTTTCCAGAAATTCTTAGGGAACCTTTTCATTTAAGATTTGAGGATAAGTCTTTCTGTGCAATCTGGTTGAAAAAAGGTCAAAAGACAATTACTTATCAATAGCTGTAAAGAAGCCAGCATTTAGAAAAGCCTCTCTTCTTTCATATTTCTTCCTCCATTTCGCATCAACTGTCTCTTCAATCCTAGTCTTAACTGGAGTGTGGTTCTTACCTATTAAAACAAACAAAACACTTTACAATTGATGCCTTGGATTTTAGCAAGCATCCTCTGTTTGTAACAGTATATTCTGTCCTGTGGGGGTCATCCTGCAGCTCAGGGTTTGAACACTCGCCTCGCATGCGAAACACCTGGGTTTGTTTCCCGGCAGGATATAATCTTGGGCAAGTTTCCCTACTCCACATGCCTCTGTTTACCTAGCAGTAAGTGGGAACCCGGTTGTTAGTGGATGGCAGATCACTTTTCCAGGGGTAATAATTCCTTCAAAAATAATAATAGATTGGTCACTTCAATCCACGACTGTTTGTGGGACATTGGCTGCCGCATTTCGCCCACAAAATATACAGTCAATTCACTTTACATTATATTCTATGAAACGTTTTGAGACGTCTCGAAAATGTGATAAGCTGCTATATCAAATGCAAGGATTATAATTATATTGCATAATAATTTAATGTTCAGTTAAAATAACTATCTCACCGACAAATAATTATTTCACCACTATGAAAGAATGGGTTAGGGTTGATACATTTAAAAATGGATTGGCAGTTATTCATACACAAAAAGACAGATTACCCATTTTAATAACTTCTGCTTTGTTCTTCAAATAAAACGTACCAATAACATACATTAGGACTAGCTTAGACTGGAAATAGGGCAAAACAGTTTTAAGAAGGTAAAATACTCTACCCAAGTATGAAAACCAATGAAGATCAGTTTTAATGGGGTTACCTACAATGACACTGCAGTAAATAGGTAGCACTGCAGCACCAGTAATTTCTACAATTCTTCCTCCATCCCTCTGTTTTACTCAATTTCTAGCTGTCTTTTAATTCCACCTTAAAACCTACCTATTTGACCACACCAATGATCATCCTCCCCTACCTCCTTCTCCCTTGCTCCGTATCGGCCCAGCAATCTTTGAGACCTTATCTTACGTGAAGGGATCTATATAAATGTACTCCCTTGGAGTTCTGTAAAAGACAACAACTTACATATATATAGATCCCTTGGAGTCCTGTAGCTCAGTGGTTAGAGCACTTGCTTTGCAAGTGAGAGACCTGAGTTCAATTCCAGGCAGAGGGTGAAACCTTGGGCAAGTTTCCTTACTCCACACAGAGCCTAATAATAATCCCTCCAAAAACCAAAAACAATAATAAATTGGTCATTTTCAATCCACGACTGTTTGTGGGACACTGCTGTGCGTAATTGGCTGCCACGTTTCGCCCACAAATATACGGTCAATTCACTTTACAGTCTATTCTGTGAAGCGCTTTGAGACGTCGGGAAGACGTGAAAAACGCTATATCAAATGCAAGGATTATTATTTTTTATTATATAGATCCCTTCAAGTAGGATAAGTGGACCCACCAGGCTCAGAAACCAGACTACCAAGCCCACCATAAAAAGTCAACTTGGTTCAAATATTCCATTGCTGGGCACATTATCTTGAAGCTACTTACTACCCCACCCTCCCCCATGGATCGTCTATATTTCAAACATAATTTGCTGTCAGAGATTTTTTAAAAACTGGGGAATATGAAATTTACAATAGCTAAATGTCACGAACACCTATTTAAATTTATATTTACGCAACAAATGTGAAACTACACATTCTCAACCAAAATCAAATATTGCTTGAAAGTGAATGAATGGAAGTGAAGAGAAGATTCTGTCTGAATAAAAGAGTTGTAAATTAAAATATGTCACAACAAATATGAATTGTTCGATTTGAATCAGGCTTGTACAGAAACTTTGTTTGATACAGACCACTTTTTGTGTCACGGTCGAAGCATTGCTTTACAAAGTTGAAAACTTCTTGGTCTCTTTCATTCAGATTCGGCTCTTGGTGACCTAGTTTCTTAAAGAATTCTGACATTCGGAAGTATTACAGCTCAAATATGCCTCTTGCAATATACCTGCAATTGATAAGAAACCACGTTTGTTGATTTTAGTTATGGAGTAAACTGAGCCTTTTAAAAAGAATAAAATAAGGACTACCCAAAACAAGTAATGCCATTCATTTAACCTATAATTATAATAATAATCCTAGCATTTGACATAGCACCTTGTCACATCACTGAGACATCTCAAAGGGCTTCACAGAATATACTGTAAAGTGAATTGATTGTATATTTGTGAGCAAAACGTGGCAGTCAATTGTGCACAAGTGTCCCACAAAACAGTCCTGGATTGAATGACTACTTTTTTTTTTGCAAAGACTGTTATTATTATTAGCAATCTGCGACTCAACTAACAACCAGGTTCCTACTTACTGCTAGGTAAACAGAGGCTTGTGGTGTAAATAAACCTGCCTACGGTTTCGTCCCGCCCGGGAATCAAACCCAGGGCCTTGCAAGGCTAGTTCGCCCACAAAATATACGGTCAATTCACTTTACGGTAGATTCTGTGAAGCGTTTTGAGACGTCTCGAAGACACGATAAGGCGTTATATCAAATGCAAGGATTATTATTATTATAGTGATCTAACCAATTTGCTAGTCTAACAAATAGGTACAGAACACAACCCATGATTATGGCCGGCGCAAAAATGTGCGACACGACAAGATCAAGACCACCAGCTCAGACCCCTTCCTTCCTTACATTGAAATTCCTCTGTTTTACCCTTCACGGTAAAAACCCCGTGAAGTGCTTTGAGGTCCTCTCCCGATGTGAAACGCTCTGCACCAAATGTCTGTCATCCATCCATCCACCCACCCACCCACCCATCTGTGTGTGTGTGTGTGTGTCTGTATGTATTTATTTTACAGTGTGAGAGATATAATAATAATATCCTCAAAGCGCTTCACAGCAATAAAGTGTATTGACTGTAGTGACTGTATACTCTGTGGGCGACACGTGGACAAGTGTGACTTCCCCTCCGCCGAGCCCTGAGGTTGCGGCCGGTCCGCCCGCATCGATATGTCTTTCTGGTAAGGACGTACATCCCCGAATTACCCCGAAAGGGGGGGGGGGTCCTGGAGGATGCGGTGCCGCGATGCAATGGCAATAAAATTGTAACATACATACATACACACATATACACACACACATACATACATACACACACATATACACACACACACACACACACGCGCTCACTGGGGAAACACAGCCATTAACCCACACGCTGCTTCTCCAGCACTGCCAGCATCAGGAATTTGGGTTGGGTCCAATATTTGTATATATGTTATGTATATATATATATATAATATACATGACCCCAGATTTGGTTTACACAGTATGGTCAGGTCACTCACTCACTCACTCACTCACTGTCTGTCTGTCTGTCTGTCTGTCTGTCCTGTGGACTCACCCGCGAGTGGCAGTTGCTAAACTGAAGCTCTCAACCGCCAACACTCCCAACGACCGTTTAAAGCCTCACGCGGCCGCCCCGCCCCCGCCCCTCCCCTCGCGCCCCGCGCGCGCCCCGCCCCGCCCCGCACGTGCTTGGGCCGGCGAGGCCCACGTCACAAACGCGGCCCCTTCTCCCGCAGGACCGCGAGGGCCGCGTGGCGGCGCGCGGCGTTCGGTCGGCAGCGGCGCGCGCGCGCGGGCGGTTGGGCGGGAGGGAGGGCGGGCGCTCGCGCTGAAGGGCGTCTGACGGCGTTTGGTCAATAATGTGTCATTCCGGTATCAGCTGCTGACAAAAGATATGGTTTTCTTTTGTTGTCTTCAAATTAGCCCCAACCCCCAAAGGAATAATGAATGAGCCCTTAAATTTCACACCGACTGTTTTATTTTTATTGAGACTTCCGAGCGTTTCAGTACAGTGGTGGAGAGGAACGAGATGGAGCCTTTCTTTGTTGGGTTTTTTTTTTACAGTAACGCACCTTTTCGCTCTGTGTGAGCGTTGGGAGAATCCTCTCTGTTTTCTGAAGTAGCAATGATAATAATAATAATAATCCTTGCATTTTGATACAGAGCTTTTCACGTCGGGAGGACGTCCCAAAGCGCTTCACAGAACACACTGTAAAGTGAATTGACTGTATATTTGTGGGCGAACGCGGCAGCCAATGGCGCACAGCAATGTCCCACAAACAGTCGTAGATTGAAAATGACCAATTTATTATTGTTTTTATTGGAGGGATTATTATTAGGCTCTGTGTGGAGTAAGGAAACTTGCCCAAGGTTTCGCCCTCTGCCTGGAATTGAACTCAGGTCTCTCGCTTGCAAAGCGAGTGCTCTAACCACTGAGCTACAGGACTCCAGATACGTACGATACCTAACGCACTGCACAAATGATGTTGGCAGGAAACTTTTGCCTTTCCGCTGTGATGACAAGCATTTTTTTTTTGGAATATAATTTGCAACAGATTGTGGGGGAAATTACACAAGCGGTGTATTATTTTGAATAATGCTTTTAAAGCTACGTGTCGAAAGCACTGAAATCCCTGTTTAATTGCTTCTGATTATGGTGGGGAGGTATATTTTTTTAAAAAAGTCAGTGTTTTGGTGCATGCTGAGTATGTGAACTAACGTGAAATAAGTCTGTTCGGTTTCAATCTTCTCATTGTTTATGGAGAATGTTTAATAATGTTTAATAATAATGTTTAGAGGCGGTTAGTGCATTGTCACTTCTGCTTTGCTTTGGTTTAGCAACACACAAGGTGGGTGGGGGGGGAAACAGTGTTGTTTCCTGCATATAAATTACTAGTTACTCTTTCAAATTCTAACTTTATTTTAAAATCATTAAATAAATGGATTCGCTTCTTTTTAACAGATGCTATATAATATAGACTGCATATACATTACCGATTGGGCATAATTTTGCAAATCAGCAAAAAGACTTCCACAAAATCAGGAGTGTATAAATGCTTCAGATAACTATTTATATAGCGCCTTTCACGTCGGGAAGATGTCCCGAGGCACTCGACAAACAGAGTTTCGGACCTGAGCTGAGGGGATAGAGGGTTATAGGAGGGGAATAGGAAGTCGTGGGGTCTCGTGTAGTATAAACACTGGCATGGATAAGTTGGGCCAAATATCCTCTTTCTGCACCATATCATTATTTATAATTCTGTGTACTGTAGTTCTTACATTGTTATTTTCTTTAGGATAGAAAGAGGCCATTCTGCTCATCAAGTCTGCAATGGTTCACAGAGCAAAGATATTGTTTCAATCCTACAGCCCCCCATTATCCCTATTCCCCTTTAAGCCCCTCTTTCGTATGCCTGTGTTCTTCCCTCTTAAAAGCTACAACAACAACAACAACAACTTGCATTTATGTAGCGCCCCTCACGCAGGGTAGCGGCCCAGAGTGTTTGACAGTGGCAGTACACGATGCCGAGCAGGGAGAAGGGGCGAGGTGACCTTAGGCATAGTCGAAGAGGCAGGTCTTCAGGTGCAAGTCGAAGATGGGGACGGAAGGATAAGGCGGAAGAATAGAGGAAGAACGTTCCAGAGTTTCGCGGTATAGTGTCTGAAAGCACGGTCACTGATGGTGGAACAGAGGGTACAGCAGAAGACCGGAGCCAGTCGAACGGAGGCAGTGGGTTGGGGAGTAATCAGGTCGGAGAGGTAGGTCATGGAGGGATTTGAAAATGTGAGGATCTTGAAATTGAAATCTACAAATGGAATCTGCCTCCACCACTTTACTCGGCAGGACTTTCCACATCCCAACTATCTGGGTGTAAAAAAAACCTCCTAAGTTCCCCTTTCACTCTTGTCAATCTTATATCTATGTCCTCGAGTTACTGACTCCCCAACCAGTGGAAATAACTTCTCTTATTATCCAAACAAAACCCCCATGATTTAATACTTCTTGATAAGGTACCCTCTCAACCTTCTCTGCTCCAATGAAAAAAGGGCCCAGCTTCTCCAGTCTCTACTCATAACTGTAGCCCTTTATCCCCAAAATTATTCTTGTAAACCTCTGCACCCCCTGCAAGGCCTTAACATCTCTCATAAAGTGAGGTGCTCAGAACTGGATGCAATACTCATAATGCTGCCCAACCAATTTTTTTTTGATCAAAATATACATATTTATTTGTTGATATATATTTACGCCTGTCTCAGACAGTATCAAACCCATTACAGAAAAGAAGATTATTATTATTAAGAAGCAACATGTTATTATCCCGTTACAGAACGCAACAGACCTGGCCCCTTGTGGCGGGGTGGGGGGGGTGGGGGGCGGTTGCCTCTGCGCCCTCCACTTTGGTGAAGGGACTAAAGCTTCCCCGCCTCGGGGTTCTGCTGCCCTTTGCAGGACACAGTTACAAATGGAGTCTTGTACCCCCCCCTCCCTATCCCTTCCCTCTTAGTGGGGCGTGTGGACAGGTTGTGCACACATTTTTTTGGGACTCTTTAAGACGGTCAGGATTTTCCCCTGTGTGCACTCCATGCATGTGCGCGCCTGCACACCCCCTGATAAAGTGCACTTGCCGCTTTTGGATGGCACCCCAATGTGCACCATACTTAGCATAACTTCTTTTATGCTCTATGCCCTTGTGTATGAAACCCAGCATACTATTAATCTTCTTCGCTGTCCTTGTCATTTGCGATGCCTCTTTCAATGACTTATGTACCTGCCCTCCCAAATCCCTTTGTTCATCAGCTCACTTCCATTCAATATTCGCCTAATAATAATAATCCCTCCAAAAAACCCCAAACAATAATAAATTGGTCATTTTCAATCTACGACTGTTTGTGGGACATTGCTGTGCGCAATTGACTGCCGCGTTCGCCCGCAAATATACAGTCAATTCACTTTACAGTGTGTTCTGTGAAGCGCTTTGGGACGTCCTCCCGACGTGAAAAGCGCTATATCAAATGCAAGGATTATTATTATTATTATTAATGTATATTCTCTTCCTTTTTTTACCAAAATGAATCACCTTGCATTTCCCTTCATTGAACCCCATCTAACACTGATCAACCCATTGCGTTATTCCATTTGACTCCTCTTGCAGTCTCTCACCATCCACATCAATATTCATCACTTTTTCCCAAAAAGACAAGGGTGAGGATTTTAAGATCCTCACCCTTGTCTTCAAATCCCTGCACTCCTCTGCACCCCCCCACCTCTCTGATCTCCTCTCTCCTCACAACAGTGCCCGTTGCCTTCGCTCCAATAGGTCTGGCCTCCTCCTCATCCCCCGAATCCTCCGCTCCACCATCGGCAGCTGTGCCTTCAGCCACTACGCCCCAAGGCTATGGAACTCCCTTCCTCATTACCTTCGTCTCGCCACTTCTCTTCCTATTTTCAGGTCTCAGCTGAAGACTTTTCTTTTCGATTGCCCCCTCCCCCTGGCTCGGCCCCGGGATCCATTACTGTGAAGCGTTCTGAGACCGTCCCGCGTGGAGGGCGCTATATAAATCCAAGTTGTTGTTGTCCTCACTTTCAAGGCCATCCATGGCCTTGCCCCCTCTTACCTCTCTGACCTGCTGACTCTACCCTGCCTGCTCCCTCTGTTCAGCGATCTCCGGTCTGCTCCATGTCTCCCGCCCGACCCGCCCTACCATTGGTAGCCAGGCTTTCAGACTTTCTGCCCCCACACTCTGGAACTCCATCCCATGGTCCCTTCGTCTCGCTTCCTCCCTCGCCTTCTTCAAAGCCGGTCTCAAGACCCTCCTCTTTGATCGTGCCTTTGGTCACTCTCCCACCTCTCTGCCTTCCCTCACCCCTACACCACCCCTCCCCCATGCTCGGGCCCCGACACCTGACTGTTCAGCGCTTTGGGACGTCCTCCCGATGTGAAAGACACTCTATAAATTTAATTTTGTTGTTGTTTAACCACATACTGTCAAACTGTTATTTCAAGTGGTAGCAGTATCACCAGAGTTAAATTTGAAAATGGTAAATATAACATGAGGTATAAATCTTAAATAGAAGTAGTATTAGAAGATTTAAAGGAACTTAAAAGTTGACAAGTCACTACGCTCAGTTGGTTTACACCGCAGTGGGCAATTAGTGATGAAATAGCAAAGGTAACGATTGTTATATTCCAAAATTCTTCAGTAACAGAAATGCTACCAAAAGCCATTGATATACCACTGTTTAAGAAAAAGGAAAGGAATAGGGCCAGATAACAATATACAGGCTCATTGATATTTGGCAAATTATTAGAGGAGGAAATTAGATGTCTGTGCTTCTGGTTAGTATAGGTTCATAGTAGACTGCTGTATGCAAGGAAGCGTTTTCCAGAGGGCACTATGATGGGATCCTTTTGTAATCATTTGAAACACAACTGTATTTATTTGGTGTACTAATTTTAAAGAAGGAAATCACTGTTATGAATCCTTCACAATAATGAACGTTAGATAACCTTTTCAGAGCCATCTTTGATCTTCAAGTATGAGCCTTTTCTATACAGTACCTCTTCTATTTTGCCTCAAGACCCTCTTCGTCGACCGTGCCTTCAGCCACCATCCTCCCCTCTCTGCCCTCCACCCTCCCTGATTCC